AAGAAGATGTCTGATGAGGACGAGTTTCAAGTGGTTATTGAAAGAGATCGGGATGGATGGGCCGGAGATTCTCCTCTCGTTGCATCTTTCTATGTGCCCACTTCAACGCTGCAGAGCGAGCCCAACTCAGCATTGGTGGGACTCTGTGTTCCACCTACGGGGCAGAACTCCTTGATTTATGGTCCCATTCTGGGAATGACCATGACTGTCTTTGAAACGCGCACTGATGACAAGGCGAGCGTATTCGTGACAAAGCATTTACCCGGGCACGATGGTTATCCTGCTGTATGTAGTGCTGTGAAGCCTCTCGAGAATGCGGTAAACCAGGGCCAGGATGACAAGACCACCAAGATTCTGCTCGAGATATCACCTTCTGAGTCTGTCATCTCTACTGTTACTGGACACTTGGATATTACTTCGAAGAAAGGCAAGGGGTTCCTGAAGGATAAGGTCCCGATCGAGTTTCGCCAGAAGAGCCCCTTCGTCATTGATATTGTTTTCGGCAAGCATGATCTTATTTGCCCTCTCAACTTTCCGGTGCCTGTCATCAAGGATGGAATGAAATCTCGAGTTGCTCGAACGACAGGCTACATCGAATTGATAGCGCCACTGGCACAACCTGGGTCTTCTCCTATACTGCTGGATTTTGCATACCCTTCAGCGATCTCTTCGTCTGGCGTCCCGGCTTGTCTCAACATGCCGCACCTGAACCTCAACAACCTTCCTGTCATTGATTTGGAAAATAAGGACCGAAACCGATGGATGACAACATTGACATCAATGCAATTTTCAGCCCGAGAAAAATACCTACGTACTGTGCGCGACGAAAGCGGAATTTCACATGATCCTATGGTCAACTTCAAGGAATCTGTGTTTACCATGTTTATGATTGCTACTGGCTTACAGGCTGGCCAGACCGGTTTGTTTGCAATCAACCACCCGAAGCGAGGTGGTATTCACATGCTTGTTTTCGTCTCCGCCATCCGGATTGATGGCGATGCTGCATCTGTTGTTATTGATGCAGCTATTATCCCGTTCACGATGGAACTCATCACGTCGGGCCGGATGGAATCCTTCCTTCTTATTCTCCGGGAACTTGAATGTGGCAGTATCGATGTAGATGATGCAGAATTATGCCTTTGGAAGAAGGCTCTCCCATCTATGGTTGAGCGGTGCCGTACCTGGTCTCACAGCAGGAGTTGCGAGTATAAGAGTAAGGGGGCGACTATTCCACTGAGTCTCAAAGATGGTGAACAGGTTCTGTGCTCGTGTGGTAACGGGCTCCTACCAGAAAACTTCGTGTCTCTCCCTGAGTGGGAAAACGCAGCGCCGAATGCAGTCCGTATTGCAATCAGCCCGACTTATGCAATTCCGTTCAACGAAGAAGTCATTGACCCTGCTGATGTTCCCAAGATGCGGAACCCAGTGACTCGGGTAGAAAGATGTCGAAGCTGTGGAAAACCAGAGGACCAGGAGGGAGTTACTTTGAAGAAGTGTTCACGTTGTCAAAGGGTGAAATATTGCTCCGGGGAGTGTCAGAAGCGAGATTGGAAAAAGCATAGAGCGGAGTGTGACTAGACGAGATGAGTTGCAAGTGAATGTATACATTGGTCTGAAGTAAGCCAAAAGAGAGACTGGAATTGAGAGAAGGATAATTAAATAAAACAAAGAGAGACTTTGGATCTTAAATCGGTGTGCCAAAAAAGATGAATGAAAAGGGTTTTTTTTGCCCCTCCTCACACCCTAGTAGTAACCCTTAGCATGATTCAAGCTCGTAGACACATTGGATGAAGGAAGGTAAGTTGGATGGTAAAGGTCTAGGATGTATATTGGAGAAGAGTGAATGATAGACCGGAAGGACCTTAATGGCCTCTGCAGAAACGACTTAGTTATGATATCGGAATAGCTTCATATATCCTTTGAGAAAAATCTCATCTGATTGGTTGCTCACCGAGCCCCTCGGTTCTCACCTTACACCGCTTTCCACCCCTTGGAGGGGCAGAAAAAATGTCCCAGCCTAGCCCATCCGCTATTGCCTGTGACCAGCTGGTGCAAGCTTGTGCGATTACGAAATCGCGAAACCTCGTACACCAGCACCGCTTTTTCAAGCCTCGACCTATTTGATCTCGACATAGCCTTCGTGCCCACTGAGATCTACAATCATGTCGGCAGCACAACTCCTCAACCCCAAGGCCGAGTCCCGAGTACGTCGATACCAATAAACTATAAACCCCCCCGCAGCCAAAGTGGCCTTGCCTTGCAACCTGCTAACCCGCTTGTCGCAGAGGAGGGGCGAAGCTCTGAAGGTCAACATTAGCGCTGGTGAAGGCCTACAGGATGTTTTGAAGTCCAATCTGGGCCCTCTGGGCACCATTAAGATGTGCGTATTATCAGAATTCTCATATGGTGATGTGAAGCTAACAGTCTCAGGCTTGTTGACGGTGCGGGACAGGTACAAACTCCTATCAAAATACCCCACGACGACCCCTAAACTGACCGACACCCCCAGATCAAGCTGACCAAGGATGGAAACGTTCTCCTCCGAGAGATGCAAATACAAAACCCTACCGCCGTTATGATTGCTCGAGCAGCGACCGCTCAGGACGATATTTGCGGTGACGGAACCACCTCTGTGGTTATGTTGGTTGGCGAGCTTCTCAAGCAGGCAGACCGATATATCTCTGAAGGACTGCACCCTCGTATCATCACTGATGGCTTCGAGGTTGCCAAGGTTGAGGCCCTTAAGGTGAGTTTGTTACCTCGCCCCCCTGAAACTTTGGCTCAACGTCGTAGTTCCTCGACTCTTTCAAACTCGCCAAGGAAGTTGACCGAGAACTCCTCCTCAATGTCGCCCGAACCTCGCTCGCCACCAAGCTCAACTCGACTTTGGCCGCCAAGCTTACACCCGATATTGTCGATGCCGTTCTTGCTATTTACCAGACTCCCGCAAAGCCCGATTTGCACATGGTGGAGATTATGAAGATGCAGCACCGAACAGCCGCTGACACTCGGCTGATTCGTGGACTGGCCCTTGATCACGGTGCTCGTCACCCCGATATGCCTAAGCGACTCGAGAACTGCTACATTCTCACCCTCAACGTCAGCCTGGAGTATGAGAAGACTGAGATTAACTCCAGCTTCTTCTACTCTAGCGCTGAGCAGCGTGATAAGCTTGTTGAGAGTGAGCGTCGATTCGTCGATGCCAAGCTCAAGAAAATTGTCGAGCTCAAGAAGGAGCTTTGCGGTAACGACGGTACAAAGAACTTTGTTGTTATCAACCAGAAGGGTATCGATCCTCTTTCTCTTGATGTTCTTGCCAAGAACAATATTCTTGCTCTCCGACGGGCCAAGCGAAGGAACATGGAGCGTCTTCAGCTTGTTTGCGGTGGTGTTGCTCAAAACAGCGTTGACGACTTGTCTGAGGATGTTCTGGGCTGGGCTGGCCTTGTCTATGAGCAGACGCTCGGCGAGGAGAAGTTCACCTTTGTTGAGGAGGTCAAAGACCCTAAGTCTGTTACTCTGATGATTAAGGGACCCAACGCCCACACCATTGCTCAAGTGACAGATGCTGTCCGAGATGGTTTGCGAAGTGTATACAACATGATTGTCGACAAATCTGTTGTTCCTGGTGCTGGTGCTTTCCAGGTTGCCTGTGCTTCTCACCTCAAGAGTGATGCCTTTGGCAAGTCCGTCAAGGGCAAGGCCAAGTGGGGTGTTGAGGCATTCGCTGATGCCCTTCTTATTATTCCCAAGACTCTGGCTGCCAACGCCGGTCTTGACATCCAGGATGCTCGTAAGTTTACTAATTCCCAACCATTCACGGCCAATATCTAATTTGCTATAGTTGCGGACTTGCAGGATGAGTATGCTGACGGCAACGTCGTTGGCCTTAACCTCGAAACCGGTGAACCTATGGACCCTGAGCTGGAGGGTGTCTTTGACTCTTACCGAGTTCTGCGAAATTGCATCGCCTCCAGCTCCAGTATCGCATCTAACCTCCTTCTATGTGACGAGTTGTTGAAGGCTCGACAGATGGGTAGAGCAGGCGGACCTGGGCCCGGCATGGATGGACCTAATGATCACATGTAGGAGATACCATGTTAAAATTGAGGCTAGACAAAAGGCTCTGGGGCGTAATATACACAATTACGACTTATTTTATGACTCAAGCATGTTTTTAGCATTTGTAATATGTAGGTAGTCTACATGAGTGCATCATGTATTGATGGTTTGTAGTCGAACATTTCCATTGATGCGCTAAGCCCCGCATTGTGACAACTTTTTGCAAAGAAAAAAAATACTTACCCCACCACCAATCACTTAAAACAAGCCCATTAATATCAACACCATGGCCTCTTACGATTCCGATTCCTCGGACGGCGAGTTTGAGGAGACAAATGTGCTCCTGGGATATGCTTCTAAAGACGCAGACGAAGACACTGTCAGCAAACTCGGTGGCCGTCCCGTACGTCTTTGGCTTGTCCCGCACCAGACAAAACTGTACCGACTAACAACGAAATCAGGACTGGTTAGACGAGAATGCTCCCAGCGCAGCCTACGCACGATGCAAAGTCTGCAAGGATTTTATGGCATTGATTCTGCAGCTCAACGGCGAACTCCCCGAACGATTCCCTGAGCATGAGCGACGAATTTATGTCTTCGCGTGTAGAAGACAGACTTGCCGGCGCAAAGACGGCAGCATCCGCGCACTGAGAGGTCTGCGGGTGTGGAAGGAGGAGGCATCCAAAGAGCCCAATGAAGAGAAGAAAGTTGAGGAAGAAAAGCCAAAGAACGATGGACCTGGATTAGGAGAGACTCTGTTTGGCTCCAAGGGATTGGGAAGTGCTTCTGGCGCAAACCCATTCTCTAGCAATGCGAACCCATTCAGCACTTCCAACAGTTCTGGAAACCCATTTAGCTCTGGATCTGCGAACCCATTTTCCTCTTCGACTTCCCAGCCTGAACCTGCCAAATCTGTCTCTCCTGAGCCAGCAACAACAGCCCTCAGCAAAACATTCGCAGAGTCTCTCAATATTAAGGATACACCGGCGTCGCCACCTCAACCTTCAGAGCCTTGGCCCGCCGAAGATGCTCAGGCCCAGCCATATCCTACTCTGTATCTAGCTGACGCCGATTTCGAAACTCTGGATCCGACACCCACGAATGTTCCCACCAACGCCCGTCTTGAAGATGCTGATGCCGCGGAACCTTCTATACTGGACCGCGAGGCTTTCGAGTCGAGCATGGACGCTACGTTTCAGAAGTTTGCAGACCGTCTGGCGCAAAACCCTGAGCAAGTTATTCGTTATGAGTTTGCAGGCACTCCTCTCTTGTATTCAAAGAAGGATGCTGTTGGTGAGGCTGTGAACAAGGGTGCTATCCCTCGGTGCCCCAACTGTACGGCGAGACGAGTTTTTGAGGTGCAGTTGACACCAAACGCTATTGCAGAGCTTGAGGCAGACGACATGAGTTTGGAGGGCATGGAGTGGGGTACGATAATTGTTGGTGTATGTGAGAAAGATTGCTCGCCTCGAGGAACACCAGTTGGAGAGGTTGGATACCTTGAAGAATGGGCTGGCGTGCAATGGGAGGAGCTGTCCAAGGGGAAATAAATACCAGGACAATTTGGAAAATAAATATAGCGAATCAAAAGCACTGTAATCAAGCCACATTGTCGGTCTACATGAGCCAGATACGATGTAGTAAATCGCAAAGTTCTATGCATTTCTAGATCCTTGGATTGCTCTGCAATAACATGTCCGATTAAACGCCTAGTTTTTGTAACCCCCGCCATGCTACCATGTGAGCCCTTCCTAACCCCTCCGCATCATCAATCGTGATGTCCGAATCCAATCAGATGGTGGGGGAAGTGCGCGAAAAATCCCTTGTGATCCGCTAAAACTCTCATCAAAAAGCTCAAACAGTGTCCTCCCACGACCGTCGGATTACCCTGGAGAACTGCTCGACGTTGACGTCCTCACGGATCTCAGCCTTCTTGGCCTCGTTGTCAGGGTTTGAGGGAACCTTGACGTTGCCGTCACTTTCGACAGTCCAACCACAAACCTCGGTAACGAACTTCTTGGTGGCATCCTCGTTGAGACCGAGCCATGACTCGAGATGGGTGATCTGGAGCTCACGGAAAGCCTGGGAGACGAGAAGGGCGATCCGGTGTCGAACGACGTCCTCAAAGTCAGGAATGTCGGCAATCAAATCGGCAACCATGTCGTCGTCGAGATCGGCCCAGAAACGGGAGTACTGAGCACCCTCGAGCTGACCGTTGAGGGATCGGAGCTTGGTGATAGCTTCGCCGAGGTCGCCAGTGACGGCAGCGGAGGGGTTGATGAGGTGGAGAGCGAGAGAGAACTGTGCGGAGGGGAACTGGGTCATTGTCTTGACCAAGACGTTGGTGATCACCTCATCCTTGATACGGTCGGGGTTGAGCTGGTATCTTGAGGAAGTTAGCCTCGAGTCGAGCAGTGATGATGCCAAAGGTTGGAGTAATTGGGCATTTCAGTTGCACTAAAGTTGACTTCAGGTGCGGCCAAGTTGAGAACAACCCGCCACACTAGTCAGGTAATAGGAAACGTTGACAAACGGTCATCATATAAGAGCCCGAGGTGTGCTGTATATATATAGTAAAAACACTCACAGTTTCAGCAGTGTTCGGTTGGCGTTGCAGTCAGTGAATTTCTGCTCGCATTGGTCTTGGAGATAGGTCTCAAGGGCGCCGACAGCCTCGGGGTTGTATCGTTCGAGTCCGTTGATGATGGACGAGATCTCGCTAGGCCTCTCAGGCGGATCTTCACCGTTCATTATGGCTGATTTATAGGGAGAGGAGGGGTCGTTATGAGGGGTGATGTTCTGGGGGAGAGGGAGGTTCGCGATGGTGGGGCAGAGCGAAGATTTCGACGGTTGTGTGAGTGAATCGCTTGTGCGTGCCAAAATGGTTTAGCGGGCTGGTTCCTGATTTTCGAAGCTCTTTAACTCAGTCACGTGCCTTCGCGCCAACGTCGTCATAGAGCTGCCGCGTTTATACTTGTTGATTAAAAAGGACGTGAAGGGGCGTATTTCTCTATTTACATAAGCTTTGTGGTGGAATTACTTTGTCTCTCCTCTGAAATTCTTCTCTTTTTAGGGGTGGTAGTCTCAGTCAACCTAGGCGTCAATGCAAATATGCCCAGTCCAACCAAGAAACGGAAGCTCAACAACGGCACCAAATCATCAACACCAGCCCGTGGTCTTGAGTACTTCTTTTCAAAGCAAAAGCAGAATGACACAGATTCGAGTAAAATTCCAAAGACAGAAGGAAATGCTGAAGGTACATCAAGTGATGCTACTACAGAATTAACAGACGAGGAATTAGCCAGGAAGCTTCAGGCAGAATGGGACCAGGAAGTTGCCAACACACCACAGAACACACTACAAGCACAGACACTTGAACTCCCAAGCAAACACAATGAATCAGTCTCTCGAGATGAAAGTCCTAGTCCTGCAGGCCCAAAGCCGAAGCCCCCAGTCACCCTCCCAACGGCTCTCAACAAGCCTGGTACACTCACCTCTACAAAACCTACACTCAGCCTTCAGGCAGCAGGCATGGCTGAAGATACGACTACTACATCGATACCTCTCGACGAATCTCCTCTAACATTCGACCCATCTGAGTATCTGGACCAACTGAAGGAGCACTGGGCATCTGAAGGCGGCAATGCGTCATATGCCCTTCTCACACGCTGCTTCATTCTCATTAACGGCACTACAAGCCGGATTAAGATTGTAGATACTCTTGTAAACTGCTTAAGAGTTCTTATTGAGGGAGATCCAACAAGCTTACTACCAGCTGTATGTCTAAATCCACATCCCTTGAGCTACTCTGACTTTCGCAGGTATGGTTGGCAACAAATGCAATTTCACCTCCTTATATCTCCATGGAACTCGGACTGGGTGGCTCAGCGATATCAAAAGCATTGCGGAACGTTTGTGGACTAGACAACCGAGCTTTAAAGGCCATTTATGACAAATTTGGAGATGCGGGAGATGTGGCTTTTGAAGCCAAGAAAAAGCAGAGCTTCACTCTCAGAAAACCAAAACCCCTCACGATCAAGGGTGTCTATGAAACTTTGGTGAAGATTGCCAACAGTCAAGGGCAGGGCAGTTCCGAAACCAAGCAAAGATTGGTTGATCGATTACTGCAAGACGCTCGCGGTGGTGAAGAGAGTCGATTTGTCGTACGGACACTTTCTCAGCATGTAAGAAAACCATTTAGATACTCACTGTTATCTTCTAACAGGCAATAGTTGCGTATTGGTGCTGTGAAGACAACGATGCTGATCGCTTTATCACGGGCCTTTTTGCTCTCACGCCCACCAGGGGCTGACTTCCCTCTTAAATCAGTATCTGATCTTGCAAAGCTCAAAAAAGAAGATTTGGCTGAAATTTGGGGTCGGGCTGAGGAGATAGTCAAGGCCTGCTTTGCGAGACGCCCGAACTACAACGACATTGTGCCCGTTCTCCTGGAAATTGGAATTTCCGAGGAACTACTAATACGATGTGGTCTTACCATGCATATACCGCTACGACCTATGCTCGGGAGCATCACCAGAGACCTGTCCGAGATGCTCACAAAGCTACAGGGCCGAGACTTTGCGTGCGAGTTCAAGTATGACGGACAGAGAGCGCAAATACATTGTGATGAGAGTGGAGAAGTCAGCATCTTCTCGCGTCATTTGGAGGTCATGACAGACAAATATCCTGATTTGGTTGAGCTGATACCTAAGATACGCGGAGAGGGCGTTGATAGCTTCATCATGGAAGGCGAAGTTGTCGCAGTTGATCGTGAAACCGGTGAGCTCAAAAATTTTCAAACGCTCACAAATCGAGCAAGAAAAGATGTCGATATCGGAAGTATTACTGTGGACGTATGCATGTTTGCGTTCGACTTGATGTATTTGAACGGGCAACCATTGCTAGATCGGCCCTTTCGAGAAAGAAGAGAGCTTCTACGATCACTCTTCACAGAAATACCGCACCACTTTACTTGGGTACAGAGTCTTGACGCTACATCTGCGGACTCCGAATCTGTTCTGGAGTTTTTCAAGGCAGCCACGGATATCAAATGCGAGGGTATCATGGTAAAGATCTTGGATAATTTACCCACAGTGCCATACACAGAAGAGGCAGATGACGATGGGCCAGATGGGACCAACAAATTGCTAACACCAAAGTCTAAGTCCAAAGGAAAAGGAAAATCGAAAGGAAAGAAAGACGAAAATGGGGAGACCAAAACGAAAACAAGACGTAAACCATTACTGGCCACCTACGAGCCAGACAAACGACTTGATTCCTGGCTCAAAGTCAAGAAAGACTATAACTCGAGTTTTGATACTCTCGACCTTATTCCTGTCGCCGGGTGGCATGGGCAAGGACGTAAGGCGAAATGGTGGTCACCTATTCTCATGGCCTGCCGTAACGAAGAGACCGGATCCCTGGAGGCAGTATGCAAATGCATGTCTGGATTCACAGATGCATTCTACAAGGCCAATCGGCAATTTTATGACGATGGCGAAGAGAGCGGCGAACCCAAGAACACCAGAACTAAACAACCCGCCTTCGTCGAATATTCAGGTCCAAGACCAGATATCTGGTTCGAACCACAAGAAGTGTGGGAAATGGCATTTGCAGATATCACATTGAGCCCGACTTATACTGCAGCGATTGGTCTCGTGAGTGATGAGAGAGGACTAAGTTTGAGATTTCCAAGATTTATGAAGAAACGGGAGGACAAGAGTCTTGAAGAGGCGAGCACGAACGATTTCTTGGCTGGTCTTTGGCGAAAACAAGAAGCCAAAGCGGAAACCACCAAGGGTGAGACAGGGGCAGAAGCAGAAGAGGCGGAAGAAGCCGATGATTGATTGAGTCTCAGCTATCAATATTGATTAATATTAATGATCAAAACGGCATGCTCTAATTATTCGAATGACATCTTTGAATGCACAATGATGATGATCTGTCCATCATTTACCAGCATTTAACCTTTGTGCGATGAGACTGAAAACAGCAATTGATCCCATGAAAAGGACGGCGTTATAGAACTGCTTTCGATCAGTATGTGTCGCTGAGACAAACCGGAGGACGACCCACCGCTTTTCTGGAGACATCTCGTTCTTCGTCATCTGTTCGCGACTCGATAAAGAGTCGACGAAGGTTTGGCAGCGCCTGTTTATTTTCTTAGATCTCGTTATCCTACGGGAACAAAGACAGCGTTCTTCACCATTGTATAGCTTAGCCGATTTGGTGAGAACTCTTATTCCAGGGATCCCAGACGATAATATGGCTTCATCGAGAATAGGTATTCCCTTTTCTTCGTGTATGTGATTGGTGCCTCTCGAGACTCGCGATGATGTTGAGATCCAGTTCAACAAGAGCTGATAAAGGGTGACTAAGCCTGGGCTATATGCATTGAAGGTGGCCAAAAATAAATTGTTAGCCATTGAAGCCACGCTACACGCGAACGGCAATCAGGCGGAAGTTTAGAGTTAGGGGGTAGCCTAGCCTCGATCCACTAACTGGAGCTTACAGGGTCGCTGTAAAACGCCCCCTTTGGTCCATGGTTTGGGCTGCGACTCAGTGGCCTAGACCTATCTTCGTGGCCTTGGCATATTTGGTGACAGTTACGTCTGCCTTGTTCATACCCAGATCGATCAACTCCTTTTCCGATTATCTCGACGACGTCGCGTATCTTAGACGCATCCTCCGATACGCGATATAATCGGTGGATGCAGGCTTCGACACTTGAGGACAAGTAGCTTGTACTCGGCCTGACCAATTCGACTAGACTGTCACCGCCGTCTTCGACAACTCAATCTCTCGTTCCTCTCTAACCTTCGACCTCCTGCCCCGTGCCCCTCCAAGAACCTCGACGATGGCGGTAAATCGCATTCGCGGCGCCTTTGCCGTGCCTCGAAAGGGCGAAACCTTTGAGCTGCGCGCTGGCTTGGTTTCTCAGTATGCGTACGAGCGCAAGGAGTCGATTCAGAAGACCATCATGGCCATGACGTTGGGCAAGGATGTGTCGGCACTCTTCCCAGATGTGCTCAAGAACATTGCGACCGGCGATCTAGATCAGAAGAAGCTTGTATACCTCTACTTGATGTACGTGGATGAAGCTGGATAGCTACAGAGCTGTCTGCCCTAGCTCTATAGCTGTCAACTGTTCGTGGGGTAAGATGAAGAGCTGACACGATAGCCAGGAACTACGCCAAATCGCATCCCGATCTTTGCATTCTCGCCGTTAATACATTTGTTCAAGACTCCGAAGACCCAAATCCGCTGATACGAGCACTGGCAATCCGAACAATGGGATGCATCAGAGTGGACAAGATGGTGGATTATATGGAAGAGCCCCTGAGGAAGACACTGCGGGACGAATCACCCTACGTTCGCAAAACAGCTGCCATTTGCGTCGCCAAACTCTTCGACCTCAATCCTCAGATGTGCATCGAGAACGGCTTCCTGGAGGCCCTTCAGGAGTTGATTGGTGATCCCAACCCCATGGTTGTCGCCAACTCAGTGACCGCTTTGTCTGAGATCACCGAGACGGCGCCCGAGACGAGGGCACTGATTGTCACGCCTGTGACGTTGAAGAAGTTGCTTATGGCCCTTAACGAGTGTACCGAATGGGGAAGAGTCACTATTCTGACAACCCTGGCCAACTACTCTGCGTCAGATCAGAAGGAGTCGGAGCACATCTGTGAGCGTGTGGCACCTCAGTTCCAGCATGTTAATCCTAGTGTGGTTCTTGCTGCTGTCAAGGTTGTCTTCATCCACATGAAGGCTCTCAACCCTGAACTTGTGAGATCATACCTCAAGAAAATGGCTCCTCCCTTGGGTACGTATATGACTACGAGATATTGAGGTTCCACACTGACCGAATCCAGTTACCTTGGTTGCTTCGCAGCCTGAGGTCCAATACGTCGCTCTGCGAAACATTGATCTCCTGCTCCAGGCTAAACCAGACATTCTGAGCAAGGAGATGCGCGTCTTCTTCTGCAAATACACTGACCCTCCCTATGTTAAGCTTCAAAAGTTGGAAATCATGGTTAGGATAGCAAACGAGCATAACTACGAACAGCTCCTCGCTGAGTTGAAGGAGTATGCCCTTGAAGTCGATATGGATTTCGTCCGAAGAGCCGTCAAGGCAATTGGCCAAGTAGCCATCAAGATTGAGAATGCCGCCGAGAAGTGTGTTGCAGCTCTCGAGGATCTCATCTCTACCAAGGTCAACTATGTTGTCCAAGAGGTGATTGTCGTTATCAAGGACATTCTGCGAAAGTACCCTGGCTACGAGGGTGTTATTCCTACACTTTGCAAGCATATTGATGAATTGGACGAGCCCACTGCCCGCGGATCTCTCATCTGGATTGTTGGAGAATATGCTGAGAAGATCAACAATGCAGACGAGATTTTGGAGAGTTTCGTTGAGTCCTTTATGGAAGAGTTCACGCAGGTAAGTCACATAATAATGGTCATTAGGCTTGAACTGACAGAATTCGCAGACGCAACTGCAAATATTGACAGCGGTGGTGAAGCTGTTCTTGAAGAAGCCTGGAAGCAACCAAGGCCTTGTCCAAAAGGTTCTTCAAGCAGCGACAGCGGAGAACGATAACCCTGATATCCGCGACAGGGCATATGTCTACTGGCGTCTTCTCTCCTCTGATCCCGAAGTTGCTAAAGTGAGAAATTCGTCTGAAGGATCATCAGAATAGTTGCTAACTACGTTTCTCAGAACATTGTTCTATCTCAAAAGCCCACGATTACGACAACCATGACAAGCCTTCCTCCGGCCCTTCTGGAGCAGCTCCTCACCGAACTTTCTACTCTAGCTTCTGTCTACCATAAGCCTCCCGAGTCGTTCGTGGGTAAGGGTCGTTTCGGTGCCGATGAGATCCAGCGAGCAGCTATCCAAGAACAACGACAAAACGCTGCCGAGAACCCTATCGCTGCTTCAGTTGCTGCCGCTTCATCCAACGGATCTGGTGGTGCTCCTCAAAACAATATTGAGAATTTGTTGGATATCGACTTCGATGGCGCCGCGCCTGCATCTCAAGAACAGAACAGTGCTTCAGCAACTCCCGATAGAGTGGCCAGCCCATCCGCTGGTGCGCCTTCAGGTGCCATGGCTGATATGATGAGCATGTTTGATGCGCCGGCGCAGGCTTCTGGAGCTCCTGCACCTGCTGCAGGTCCCAACAACAACATGAATGACTTGATGAACGGTTTCGAAGGATTGAACTTTGGTGGCTCGTCAGCAGGCGAGCCCCTACCAGCAGCAATGCAGCTACAACAGGCCCAAGGAGGCGCTCCTCAACAGCCCAAGAAGGACAGTGAAGATTTGCTGGGTCTTTTGTAGATGCATAAACGTATACATGAATTTCAAGCCAAGAGATGGTCATTGGTTCACGGGAGTATGGAGACGCGCTGGTAGGAAAAGAAGATGGATGCCTTCATGGAGGTTATGGTGTTGGCGCATACAAACACATCTTGTTGTTTCCGCGTTGTACGCTTGCCAAATAAAGATGCTCTAATTATAAACTCGATTCCTTGGTTTTCTTGTTACTTCGTGATGTACAGCGGCGTAAAGACCGCTTACGTACGGATATCGTTATCTAGACCCTCCGTTACATACTCGCCCTACCATCCCTATGCCTGTCGCGTGCCCTTTTTATGCAGAAACTCCATGTAGTATAACCCCGACATCGTGGAAGATAAAGAAAAGGTGATCTATGGCTGCGCTTGCGCGGTGTCGTTGGCTGCGCTCGTCTTTGCGTACTCCTCAGGTGTCTGGCACTTGGCGGTCCAGGCGTGAATAATGGCGATTTCGTCCTTGAGGGCGGCGTTGACGAGGCGGTGACGCTTGAGAGAGTTGAGGCCCTGGAATTGAGGAGAGACGATGACAGAGTTGAAGGCTTGACCACAGCCGCCTACAATATCCTCATGTTAGCTATGTCGGATTCTACGCCGTGATCGGCTTGGAGGGGTTCGCGGGGTAGAGTAGAGTAGAAAAGAACTGACCAGACATGTCTGTGACTTCAACGTGAGTAGCTTCGAGGCGCTGCTTGATGGCCTCACGTAGGGACTCGTCTGTGATTTGCGACATCGTTCTGACTGGAGAAAGGAGGATATTAAGGTATGGAGCTTGTTGGAGGTAGTAGAACGAAGTAAGAGGTTGATTGATTGATTGATTGATTGATTGATTAGATATCAATCGTGGGGTAAAATGCACAGTGTGAGTCGGCATCTGACGCTGAGCCGCCGTCCACGGAAAAAACGCAGATCACTCATACCACTTAAAGTTCAGCAGTGAGTCATCTATGGAAGTTGACAGAGTTTATCTGGGATTTTATTGCTCCTTTGCGCTTTAACTTTTCAATCCTATTCAAACTATTTGAGATCATTGACATCCAAGATAGTAAAAGGATCCTTGTCGTACTTGCTCACAACAACCTCCGCCTCGGGAACATTCTCCTTGATAGCAGCCTCTAACTTGGGCTTAAGCACTTCTTGAAGATACCCTCTTTCAGAATTGCTGTGAAAGACCTGGACAAGTGTTTGTCCCTGTTGAATAGCTCTCAAAGCTGAGTGATGGCTGGTCTCGCCAGTCACCAAAAGATCAACCTCAGCCTTCTTGAGCACATCATACCCGCTACCAGCGCAAACACCAAAGCTGCTAATCTTGGTAGTCTTGGCATCAGCACCAACAGGACTTGCTACCATAACGTGCTTGAGACCGCCGAGTTTCTCAGCTAGACGAAGAATGATCTCGGAGAGAGAAACAGCATTGTCGAAGCGGCCGATGGCACCATAGCCTGCGCCAGAGTGACTGGAGGGAGCAGTGCTACAGGGGATCGCGACAGAGCGTTGGCTTTGGTGAGGGCCAGAAACGATATCTGCAAGCCATGTGTTGAGTCCTTCAGGGGCGGCATCGACTGCCGTGTGAGGGCAGTAGACAGCAATACCAGCCTTGGCAAGGCGTAGAAGAGTAGCTTGCTGAGGATCCTTGTTGGTAATGGACTTGAGGCCTCCAAATATGAAGGGATCTAGCATCGTTTTAGCGAATTCCAAAATCCGACTCAAGATATGCGATGAAGACTTACGATAGCTAACAATGACACTAACATCCTGCTCAATAGCATCAACGGCGACTTGGTAGGTCAGGTCATTGGTCACCAAGACCTTCTTTGACTTCTTGACATCATTTTCTGAGTTCCCTACCAAGAGCCCAACGTTGTCCCAGCTTTTGTCTGCGATTTCCTCAGGGTATAGCTTCTGCATAGCTGCAACTACTGCCTTTGTGAAGGTTGAAGATTCAACCTGCCAGGCGCCCCAAGCACCATTGTCGGCCATCTTGAGTGACGAGTTGTTTAGAGAGTGACAAGAAGAACAGAATCTTCTTGTGTTTACAAGAGGAAAAGCCCTTGTAAGAGGTGAGCTAGGAAATCGAGCTGAGCTTGAGATTGTCGTAAGTAGTCTGTTCAATCTCAGAACAGAGCCTCTCATAGCAAATGTGCTACAAATGAGTGATATGTGATGCTCAAACGTTAACTTGGTCTTGAATGCAGCCTGTTAGGGGTCTCTATTACCAATTGACAGTGCAAGGTGCAAGGCTCACTCACCAGCAATTCTCTCGTTTAGCTTCACATAGGTAAAGCTAGAAGCTGTGGGAGCTTGAAGCTAAGTGCAGAAACTGTATGGTGGAGGAGGGCCAAGTGAGCTCATACTGTGTGTGCTCGCATTCTACACTGTCTATTAGGTCCAGAAAGTAAGGTAGCTTCCGGATGAGCTATGACTTGGCAAAACAGAAACGCTGTGATCTAAATAGACTCCTTTCACGATAGAGAGTCACAGGAATTTAGAAAATCATTCATTCATTAACCCTGGGTAGTGATAATATGTTACAATAAGTCATTAGGTATATTTCGTAACCTGCAGTTCATGACCGTCCGTCTTTTGACACACGGCTATCTCTTGATCGTCTTTCATCTCTTGATAGTCGTTCGTCCCTTGATATCCTTGGACTTGGAGCGCTGCTCTTATTATCGACTAGTCTCAACGCCTCATCACCCTCTTCAATGCACTCTTCGACGTCAGTGCCGCCCAGTCCTTTCTCTTTCCATGATTCTAGCAGTTTTCGTGGCATCACCCACTCTTTGCGCGCTTGCGCTATCTTTCCCTCACTAACAAGAGCACGTAATCTTTCAGGTGTCGCTAGAACCTGTGCTGCGAGTTCTCTTGTCCGCTGTTGTCTGGTTGCTGCGTCTCGTTTCTTGCCCTCCTCAGAATCTGGTGAGGGAACGGTTTCCCGAAGGGCATCTCGGATGGAGGATGCTTGGCTGTAGATTTGTGCGATTGCCGGGTCGAGTGTTGAGGCCATAGGATTCAGAGGATCCATATTTGCTCTCATCTAGTCACGATTGTCAGTATCGCGACTCTTCAAATAGTAGCCCATGAACGTACCTTGCGAATAGTCTCTGTTGCTGTAATAAGCTTACTGTAATTGTCGTATACCAAAGCCTTCTTCTCCGCATCCAGCGCGCGCACTTCTCCCACAACTCGTGTATATAGCCTCAAAAGCTCCTCAAGACTGCTCTTTTCAACAATCTTGGCGACATATTCATCGGCGTTGAAGTCAGGGGCATCGATCTCTGTAGCTGGGACTTCAGAATCGGGAATCTCTATACGAGGGGCCGAGGCGCGCAGATTGTAGTACTCGCGGAGAGCAGCGCGATTGGAAGACGTTTTGCGTTGCTGTTGCTGAGGGGGGCCAGGAGGCTGTGTAGGTCCTTGTGTGAGGACGGGAGACGCCAGTGCGGACCGGGAGGTTTCGAAGGAGGGACGGTTGGAGTTTGTGGGAGTACGGCGAGGAGGATCGCGTGGTGAGGCTATTGTAGACATTTCTGCGACTTGTCGAAGTTCGGAGACGAAAGATGAGGATGATCGTGGCCGGAAGCGTAGCGAGCTCGGTTTGAAGCTGAGCTGGAGGTTAACAAGGCTGACCTGAGCTTGACACGCTGGAGGACCGTTAGTGGTTGTCACTGGCTGATGACCTACAACCCAGGGGCACGGCACGCTAAATTTAGGGGATGCTCCACTCTGAGCCACTGGAACGTCATTCCCTTCACAAGGCTGAGTACGAGCTGCATCTTAGGTTTCTCAACACCAAAAGATCAATATTGTGATGGTATACCAGTAACAAAAAAATGGATCTCGTCGGCCAACTTCGTGCTTCAATATTGGCACAAAACCTTCCTCATCCCTCAACTGCGTTTCTCAACTCACTTATAACCACCCGCTCACCTCCACCACCACTTCCTTCTCTGTTAGCCACTGCCAAAGCTCGATTGCTGGCAGCGGATTTGACTAGCAGTACAATCATAAGCACAGGTTCTCTTCAGAGTTTCCCCTCTGATGCGGGCTCTACAGAATCTCGTGAGAAGCGTGTCCCGAGACCTGTACATGTGCAAGTGCTCGATATCGAGAATCTTGCCTCGAGTCGCTGGGAACAGGTTGAAGAGATGGAGGCTGTGGCTAGGGGTGAGGCAACTCGTGGAAGAGAAGTTGTTCGTGTTACAGCAGAAGACGATGATGAAGATGGCATTGATGGTCCAACCCAGCGACCCCCAGCTTCTCGGAATACAGCTGGCCCAAAACCAGCAGGAACGAATGCGACGCATAGACTCGTCCTGCAGGATTGCAAAGGAACAAAACTCTTTGCCCTTGAGCTACGACGTTTTGACAGTATCGGAGTTGGTAAGACTCAGATTGGAGAGAAGATCTTACTCAGGGCTGGGACGGTGATTGCCAGAGGAATGATCTTATTGGAGCCAGATAAGTGTGTTATGCTTGGCGGAAAGATTGAGGCCTGGCAGAAAACATGGGTCGATGGAAGATTGGCGAGATTGAAGGAGGAAATAAGACAAAATGAAAGACTGGCATCGTGAGGGGCTAGTGGATTTAGATTTGATACCCCTTTTCCAACAGCTTTGTACATACAGTCATCCGATGGACATACTTCTATGACGCTATATGCTACATGTTGATTGTGTTCCAAACTATCCTCGTACAGATCTGCATTCGTTAAATGCCCTCAGTAGCAGCGGCCAGCGATGTCCAGCCACACTGTTCCCAAGGCGCCAAGAACGCTGCTCGCTGAGCATCTCCAGCAGTAGATGTTCCAGCATATGCCTTTGCTAGATCCTGTGCTTCCAATAACCCCTTTGGAGGAATGCCCCTTGCTGCGACCTTGAGCGCCATCTGAGCCGCGTACTCATCGCCTGTAGATTGGGCCAGAGCAGACCAACCATGAGGTAGGTCAGGGTAGAGCATGATATCTGTCTGTACCTGTGTTCTCATATCCTCTTCCGTGCGTCCTTCTCCAAGCGTGGCAATGGCCCGTAGTACTTCACCAATGTGCGACTGCTCTGAGGCTGTTACCTTGTGATTGGTGCGAAGACCGTTAAGTTCTTCGACAACTGCTTCCAAAGAATCCTCGTCATTGTCCAACAAAGCCACCACACCAAGAAGAAGAACTGACTGTACGTGTTCGGGATGTTTTTCGATCACCTCAAACAGTGCTTCACGAGCTCTCTCTCGAGACGACTCGGCTCCCTGAGCCCAAAGCACTTGAGCCAACAAGCATACAGCATCGGGGTTGCCATCAGACTCCTCCAGAGCAGACTCAAAATACGTGATCGCTTCATCGAACTGGTTGTTGTAGTACTGTGCCAATCCTACAGTAAGATGTGCAGACAAGCGAGCTCTCTTGCGTTGTTCACTTGAGAGCTCGTTCTCTGCCTCCTCGCTGCTCAAGCCTAGTGCTAGCTCGCCACACTCAACTGCCTTCTCGTATGAACCAGAAGCGAGGTATGCTCGTGCTAGATCCGTTTTGGCCAGAGCAAACTTGGCGAGACTTTGAGGGGATTCGGTGCTTTCGTAATCGGCCTCAACGCTCGAGGAGATCTTTTCTAGTGCATCAACAGCACGGCTGCTCTCTCTGGTACGCTCTTGAAATAGTGTCGTCAAGTGACCAAATGCCAGGTCATCGGATTTGAGGCTTTGATATTGATTGAGAGCGAAAAGTGGTTGAATGAGCGATTCAACGTTAATTTCATTGGGAGGCGATGAAAGAATATGATCGAAGAGGGAGCTTGAGTAGTGACGCCTGGTAGGTACTGAAGATGCATCTGCAATCTCCATTGCGTGGGTGAATAGTCCTCGGGCTTCTTTGGTATCACCATGAAGAAGAGCCACAAATCCTTGTCCTAGCCAAGCGTGTGCATAGTCAGGGTCAGTTGACTGGGCCCTCGTGAAGACCTCGTTAGCCAGCTCAACATCTCCGGACAAAAGGGCGAGAGTTCCCAAATTCGTCCAGGCCGCAGGGCTTCTCTCGTTTAGGTACAGACTTCGGGCGAAAGCATGCTGTGCTACTGTAGGGTTGATCTCGCTGGTTACTACACCAAGGGCATTCCAAAACTCCGAATTTCCAGCTTCTAACTCGATAGCACGCTTGAATGACCTCACCGCAGCTTTGACGTAGCTGCTGGACTTCTTCCTGATCTCAGATGGCAGGCAAATATGCGCACGATGTTCTGCCCATCCCAAATTGTAATAAGCCACGGCTTGCGCGTGGCGATCATTAGACGAAATGTGAACGCCTTGCTTGTGGCACAAAATCGTAGCGTGGATACATCGGGTGAGATCAACCCCAGGCTGCTCATCATCTGCATACAAGCCCTTTGCGAAGACCACATCAGTGCCAACCTTGTCAACACTGGCGAAAATCTCATAAGCGTCCTGTGAGCCCTTCTTGAGAAGCTCACTAATGGATTCGCAGGGCAAATCACGCGTGCGACTCTGAACAGAAGAGAAGACAGAGCATGCATCAGCTATGGCTTTCCAGAAGTTGAAAGTCTCAATAACACTGCCTTCGGTTGTCTTTGCATACTCAATGGTCTCGGTTGCAAGCTGGACTGCTTTTCCGAAAAGTCCTTTCTCGACAGATGAGAGGGCGTTGTCGACTGTTGTTTGTAGCAAGGCGATAATAACACCCTCCTCCCCAGGGTGCGTCTCAATGACGGACCTGTAGAGAGCGATAGATTCGTCATACTCGCCCAGTTCACGCTTGATGTTAGCAAGCATATACTTGGTAAACCAGGTGTCTCCAGAAATATCTGCTTCAGTTTCTTCCTCCAGCCTTTGTGCATTCAGAATAGCCTTAGTGGCAGCGATGTGCCGACCGGAACTGTGGTAGCTCTCCCCGAGACCGACCCAGGAATGGTAATTTTCGGGGCTAATACGAAGCGCTGCTTGGAAAGACACAATAGCCTTATGGAAGTCTTGCTTATTGAGCTCAGCCACGCCGAGTGCAGCAAATGGCCAGCTAATGCCCTTCCTCTTAGATCCTGGTGGCGGCTTTACCTTGCCAGAGTCAACAACTCGGCGGGCGACGAGCTCGACTCTATCCCAGTCTCCGTCGTCCGCAAAAGAGCGTGCAAGTCTTTCGGCTGCAACCACTTCGGCATGAGACAGCTCCAGTGCTTTCTGGAAGCAACGTCGCGATCTGCCTTTATCCTTCGCATAGTCGGCATAGTATGTTCCTAGGTACGTGTATGTGGGTGCGTAATTGAGGTTGTTGTTCAGGGCACTAAGCCAGTATGCGTACGCGGACTCTCCTTTTCGTTGTTTTCGTGCAGCCTTACTGGTATCGATGTTCCAGAGGCATACTCCCAGGCGATGCTGCGTCTCACCCAGCAACTCCTTTGATGCAGTGCCTTGTTTTTCCAGCGGCTCCAGACATTCGTGCAGTTCATCCTTTGCGGTTTGCCAATCTCCCTTGAGTGCTTTGACCCAGGCGGCCTCAGACTTTACCCTGATGTTTGTTTGATCACGTTCCAAAGCCCGAGTAAGATACTCGATAGCTTCATCGTACTCCTCTTCTTCCTCGTAAATCAGACCAACACCGATCAAGGCGGAAGTGGAGGTGTTATCCCGCTCGAGAACTTTGTCGAACAGCTCCTTCGCCTCTTTGTGATGTCTGGGGGACTGGTAATAGACTAGTGCTGTTCCGAGCGAAAGGTAATAAGAGTCTTCGGCATTTGCGAATGAAAGGCCTGTCTTCTTACGCTCCTGTGTTAATAGAGCCAATCCCTTGCGCATAAGCTCAACAGTACTCTCATACTCTCCAATGTGAAGAAGATATTGGCCAGTGAGTCGGTACGCGAGAATAGAATCAGCAGTAGTAATGCCTTCGGTTATCATGATGAGTCGATCCTCATCGGTCAAAGGAACCACAAGGGTAGGGACTCCACCATCGTCGTCGTCGGAACTTTCGTCTGACTCATTCAGGGCTGCCTTCGCCTTTTCCTGTGGCTTCTCCGGTGGGAATGGTGAGATTGGGCTTGTCAGGTAGCTTGTGATAACTTTGTAAAGATCACTGTCGGGAAAGAATGAACAGTAGGCTCGGAGGACATCCACGTCCCATTCTCGAATCTCCTTCTTGTCCTGCCACTCTATAGAAATATCCCAAGCAAGCTTGTAAGGATATTTTATGGCAACCATGCCGTTGGCAAGATCGAGCACTTTCTGACGTTCAGCGTCCTTTTCAGCGCCCGTTGGAGCGACCAGGAGACGATCATAACAAAGCTGGAGAAGCTTTTCTTCATACTGCCGTCTCAAATCATCGTCATTTGTCCAGTTGATGAGTTGTCGATATATGTGCTCAAGTTTACTCTGGCTGTAAACTTCCCGCTTGGCGTCAAGGGTGACCTCGGTGAGTTTAGCACCCAGTTTGGTTCGTCGCTCTCCGATGAGAGTATTTATCCGGTGTTTCTCAGCCTTCTCTAAGATGTGCGCTATCGTCTCATATGTCTTTGCTGGGTGAGGGAACCGGCCCTCAAGGATAGGGTATAGAGGGCTTTCCGGGAGTTGGATCGAAAGTGCTTCAGCATATTGTGTCTCATCACCTTGAACTCTTGCAAAGTCTATAAATTTGTCCACAACATCTTGACACTTGTACATATCATCAGCATCTCGATGAATCTGCGCCAGATTAACGACTGCCTGGTGGTAATCTGCCAGCTTCTTGTTGCTTTGCTTCTCAAAGAGCTTGATCAAACCCTGCCATGCTTGTGCCTCCTGGGGACGAAGCCACGTCGCAGATCGATAAGTCTCCTGAGCTAGGTCAAGCCTGTCCTTTTTATCTAAGGCAAAGGCTAGGAAAATGTGACTGGAAAGGTTGTCAGCTTGAGCCGATCATGGCGGGGTACTGCAGCTCTTTGTTGCACATATTTGGTATTCTCACGCTTGGTAGTTCTTGGGATCCTTTTCCAGTAGCTCCTTTGCCTTGCTCACCGCATCGTCAAACTTTTGCTGGCGAATAGCATCGTTAATGGCCTTGAGGGCTGCCTTTGTCCCTGACATGATGGCTAGATTTCTGTTGTGTTGGAGGGTACCCCCACCAAGCTTGTGGGAGCTCCCTTTGCTCTCTTAATGCTTAAAGCTGAAATTTGTGGCAGTCTTTCAGATATCTCAGCCAGCGAAATAATTCAATCGAGTGAGGTCGACAAGTCCAAAAGACAACGCTCAAAAGTACATCGAGTGAATGGATCATACACTCATTAGCCAGGCTATTGCAGGTGGAATTGCTCTGTGGATGAATTATGTCATTCGAAGCTCACTGATAGCCGAAGATGTCCCGCCTACGTCTTGGGTCCCACCTCACCAACCTACTTTAGCACTATCTGTAGAGTACCTTAGATATATGAGTAAGGTATGTTGCCTTTCTTGTCAAGCTTTCATCTATCTTAATAGTTCCTGTATATTCAATATTTGGTATAGATTACAACTTCGCGATGTCCCCACATGGTCTCATACAATCTTCGGGAAGAAGGTTCAAACATATTCGAAAATAGCGTTAAATCACGAGCTATAACAATTTCGCATTCGCAGAAATATTTCAACGACACGTCAATAAGTTGAACAGTCCGTTGGTACTTACAACTATACATAGATCCTAGTAGAAATATCAAGTGGGAATGTGAGGAGTTGCTTTTATTGATAATCCTGACCTGATGGCTGATATAGGGTAGCATGGGCTAAGGTAAAGTCCACAAGAAAGGATACTCCCCCATCAAACTTCCGTCCATAATGCGATAGAGCTCTGCGAGAGCAGTAACAGGGCAGTCATCTCCGCCTCTATATGGCACACCGTCATCATCAACTGCCTCTGGGTAGGGCTCCGCAGGATAGTCCCATTTTGGATCGATCATCCTCACAAAGACTCTGGCAAGACGAGGCTCATCCCTTTCAATGTCGAGGCAGAAGGAAAAAGTGGCCAATCTGCTGATTGTTTGTTCATCAAGAAGGATGCATGCTGAGAACCTGCTTGTACCAATTCCTCTGAACATGAGGTCGTCTTCAAGTACCCCGAGACTTCTGAGATGAGCACGGAATTCCTCTCTTACTCGATCTTCTGACGCATTCTCTAGAGCCTCTTTGTCTTCAATGACTTCAAGCTTGAATCTTTTAGTTGCTTCCTCACTATAAAGAGATGGTGACATTAGCCTCAAGCTTCTGAGTGTGGCCTGAACCAGGTTCTCCAGGGCTTGGTTGAGTTTTTGGCACGCCAGATTGGAATAAGATGTGACAAAGACGAAATAACCCCATGTTGGATCCGTGGCTGCCTGTCCGAGTGGTCCTCGTGTCTTATTTTGATGTGCCTCTACGGCGGAGAGAAGCTTGCGCACATCGTCAGACCTCTTTTTGTAGCCCAACCAGTCTTCATTGTCACGGATCCACCGATTGAAGGGCCTCTCTCTTTCAAACACTTGACTATCAAATTCAGGTTCATCACTGTAATCTGAGGGCCGGATATCCAGGTCTACATCACTGAGATATCGGGATGTTTTCTGAATGGCTGGATCAGCACCAGGACCGAATGAGCGGATGTTAAAAGAGCGCTTGTCAGGGACAGGGCGAGTTTCGAGAGAAGGATCTCGTGGTGGAAAATCTGGTATAGAAAACGATTTTTCTTGAGAGTCCATATTGTGCGGGAAATAGAGGTTGTGAGATATGGGTGTGAGGGTAGTGGGAGAAAAGGCGATAAGTATTGTGGATAAACAAAGAGTGTCATGTCAACTGGGTATAAATACTGATCTCAACAGTGCCATCCACAATGCTTATTTCATTACTGAAACACGACCTTGTGAATCTGCCAAATCAAATCGTATATGACACGGCGCTTGGGTAATCATTAATGTATAGCAACATGGCTCGTTAGGCAGAAGCCCAGGCAGTCAGTGCTATATGGCAAACCAATGAGAAGCCAGCGTAATTCATGTACAACCAACAACTTACACAGATCCTTGGACAAAAAACCAGGTGCATAAATATAAACTTCGCTTACAGATTTTAGGCCGTTATTTTAAGGTACTCACTATTGATTCGACAGGCATGTAATGTTGAGCCACTGTAGTGTGGGTGACACGAAAGAGGGAGTATATCAGTTCGCGACATCTTCATGCTAGACTCTATGATACTGCGGCAACTGTAATTTGATACTGAGTTGCGCTGTCATAGAGCGTCAAAGTTTATAGTCATTAGACATTATTTTGCGATTTACTGAACCTTCTTTCGACGTCGCTTCGAACAGGTATTTCTGTAACATGGCTGTACACTCTCTCTACCACGGCCTAGCCGATCCACCGACATGGACTCATTGTACGAGGATGTCTTCGAGTCTTATGGCCGTGAATCCGAATCCGAACCCGAGCGTTTCGAAGAAACCTTTGATTCTTCCTGCACTCCAGTAAAAAGACAATGTGCGAAACGCCGGAAACTCGGCAGGCGCTGTTTCCGGTGCCGTTTGAAGCTTGCATTAGGGGACGAGTCTGAGGAACCTACCAAGTCAGCACTTGAACTTGCTGTTGCTTCTCAAGCTTCTCCAAGAAACGACGAATCTGAAGATACTATCCTGGAGCCTATCCCCGAGCCTGTCGAAACAATAAGATCACAAAAGAATGCGCAGAATGGAGAAACTCCGAGCGCAATCCCATGGTGGTCTAATTCAAAATCTCAACTACATGATTACCCACAGACTCCCCCCAAATATAGAACCGCGAGTTTTCATACATCTTCCCATGAGACACACTTTTACGATGGTGCAACAACGAGAAACACCCGTCACTACGAAAGCAATATTTCATCCAGCGGTATCAGCACCCAGTCTAGGGTGAATGATGTCAACCCCAAACCAACTTGCTACTTACATAACCATCCTTGTTCTCAGTGGAAGGCTCTAGCTCCTGAACCTGCATCCTATCATCGATCGGACGCCGAGATTGAGGTAGTCAAGATAAACAGAAGCTGGCACCTCGTTTCGACAAAGTGCCACGTTAAGAGAAACGAGAACGGCGGTGTTACGCACAGTCATGAACACCGACATTGGGCAGAGCCTTTCAAGGAACTCCCTCATTACAAAGGTTGCAGGTCCCTAGAGGAGAAAACATCTAACATTCCTGAGCATGTCAAGTTTTAAAATGCCACGATAACCTTTATAGAAAGGTTCCCTTGGCGAGGGTATACTCATGCGGTCTGGGTTGCGCTGGCGGAAACACCACCCTCCATGCCGGGTTCAGTGATTCGCAGCACCATTCAATATAAGGTATCATGCACGGTGTATCGCGATCAGCTATATGGACCGGGAAGGCTTGTTAATTCGGTCTGGAAGCCCGATGAGCCCGTGATACCACTGGAGTCATTTTGCTCTAGCATATATGATTTTGGCAGATCAGCCGTACACTGGGTGCAAGAAAGGATCACTGGTGTGAAGCATTCGGATGAGATCGACTAGCGGAGATCTCTATAGTATCATATAGAACTTCTTGTTGTGCCATTGAAGAGGTGGACTGAGACACTGGCAAACCCATAAGGAGAATAGCTTGCATGTGAATACCACCAACATGCAACCAACAAGACCGACAACCGAGTCGCCACAAGGCCCGCACACACCTTATCTTGTATACGAAAATGGAAGTGGAACTTCCATGGGGTTTTCGCATTCGAAGCTGGTTTTCGGAAAGGAAGTCATATCGTTGGTTGGGGGCGGATATTTCGGAAAGGAGGCACTTAGCATAAATGGCTCGTATGTCATGGCGGACATAACCGATTGGGAGTAAATTGGGGGCCGGCCGTGTGATCGAATGTGTATATATACCCAAAAATTTCTCTGATTAGGGTGGTTTGTCTCTTCAACATTCTAATATCACGGGAAAGCAGAGCCAATATTCTTTGATCCATAGTTAACATATTTTGACTGACACTTTCACGACGAGCCTCAATATCTATTCGAAAATAACATCACGACAGGGATTTCTGAAACAGCATTATTAGGCCAATTCACGAAATCATCCGGTGCGACAACAGAGCGGTCAAGATCCAGTTTGTTCATCATCTTCCATTCTATCTTTGTTATCACTCAGGCTGCCGACTTATTTCTACCGGCCAATCCAACCAACCTATCAAGTCCGTACTTAACAAACCTCTTATCGTTTCGAGCAGATGTGTTGCCCATCCTTCCATAAACCATGACCTTTTCATTGTCCTGAACAAAGGGACATAATACGCCATCAAAAGCAGAGCCTGAGGTGCCTTTCGCTGAAGACACCCGACAAACAGATCTTGCATGCGGTACAGCCAGCCAAACACAAACTTGTTCATCATTGGGACTTGGACAAGTCCCTCGGTGTTGCCAAAGTTGGCCTCGTACACATCGCACAAGCTTTTGTGAACCCTCAGGTACAGAGCAGTATCTGGGTTCTCATGAGATGCTATCCATAGTCGAAGCTTCTCAAGTGGCCCAACCCAATCAATGTACGAGAACCCCATAACCAGAAAATCGGGTCTTGTATCTTCCATCTCTGAATTTGTGCCACCGCCGCCGAGAGGAGCCATGAGGCCCGTAAAGAGCGTTGCTGGTTCGATGCTCTGCCGGATCAACCGGACTCCATGAATCACGGGAAGCCATCTTTGCGAGATTCCCTCGCCAATAACACACACAAGAAGGTCGTCGGGACCTGTCGGGCCAGCTGCAAAGGTGCAATAGCAGACGAGCACCGCTGCGACATAGAGAGCGCCACAATTTGCTTCGTTGAGGTTCGTTAATGTCCTGTTCATTTCATAAATACCGAGTTCCGCATGATGCGCCGCAAGAGCGAGGCTTTGAGAATGCCGTTCAGTCCCTTTTGGTTCTTGGTATACCAGATGATACCCTGCCAGAGCATACATCATATGAAGGACGAAATGGTAGGAAAGGCCGATCTGGGGGACATTTCGCGCCCAGAACGATGCGATATCATCGACAGGGTCATCAGCATCGTGTAAGGTCCTTGACGTATTGGCCATGAAGTGGAAGAGTAACTCGGCGTCAGCAATATTCAAGGAACATATCTGCGAGTTTGATATGGTTGAAGAGGAAACTGGCGTAGCTGACGTCGAAGACGGTGATGTTGTCGTCCTGTCTGATGCTGGCGGGGGAGGAGGTGGTGGTCGCGTGAGTGCAGCCCAGTCCTTGCGTGGCCTTCCAGGACCACGTCGCGGTGTCGTGGCAGGTTCTGCTAAAACTGAGAGTATCTCCGGGGGAGAAGTGTGCGGCGCTGAGTCGTCACTGGAAGGTGGTTGTGGTGCGAAATCGCAGGGTATGCCAAAGCGCACGCAGTTGGCACAAGCTGGCTTCACCTCGTCACACTGGGGTCTTGTCAGCTCTGATCTGGGACATTCGGAGACTTTTTTCTGAGGACTCACCTTTACTTTTCTCCTTTTGCAGTTGAAGCATCCGTTTCTCGATTTACGGTGCGGTCTTCTGGCAAGCTTGGAGACCCGCGCAGAGGAGATGCTCTCTGGACCATTTGGCTGAGGCGTCGTTGACTTGCGCATGCTATCTATGTGACGATGCAGTGTCTGTGAATATTATATAGAGAATGGCCAGATCATCCAGAAAGCCTCAGCGGCTATAGAAGTACGCAACGAACCACGAGCAGGAAACACCAACTCTAAGTGCTTTTGCTTTCAGGCGTCGTCATGGGCTTCAAGGCCCTTCCCGAGGTCACCGGGCGATGTCTCCGTATCTGCAGACGGAAGCGCCGGACGGCTTCAGCTCTTGGACCGGGAGAGTCCAAAACACAAAAACGATGAAATTCGAGTCCGGTATTCAGAATCCGACAAGTCCCAACTCTTACCGGATCGCCGAATGTGATGTTCGTAGGGGTATTTGGAGTTGATGATATATTAGTCCAGCCACAACCGGAATAGCAGCAGTGCCGGCAAATGTGTGTGGGTCGGTGACAGATGATTTTAGAGTTGATATTCTCAACCCGAGAATAAAATCCGATGTGAAGCAAGGGTTCTCAGCTGTATGAGAGAGATTCTAGAACAAGGCAGGCTGTTGATTCACGTAAAATAACAAGAAAATGGGGGATTGGTTGGGCGAGGGGAGCAAAGTAAAGTAGGCAGCTCCAGCGGAGTTAACTAACGGCGACGGGTTTTCGCATTTGTAATTGCGTAAAATGTCCGATTTGCGAGGTCGTAAAGCTATGCCTGATTCGGTCAAAGGAATCGGGTTGTCGTTAGTATCTGACCAAGTTCTCACTCTTGAGTGCAAAACGTAAGAGGAGAGGATGGAGCTGACGAGATCATTTGGGGCAGTATAGGGAGTCTCACACACTCGCACACGCGGTTCGAACTATTTACGAGGTTCTGAGCTTCTATTCTTGTTGCACAACTATATTACCTAGGTAGAACTCGTGTTAGACCTTCCGAGGGGGGTCTTCGACGGACTCTCGGACAAGTTGCTTCGCTTACACGAGCAACAAGAGATCTAGCTGACTAAATTTGCCTGGGTGCGGCATTCGTTTTAGCGCCTAAATAAAGCCACCATCGGACCCATGGATGACGAATACGATTGATTGATTGATCTGCTCGGAACTTTTGGTCATTATTCACGTTTTATATCCGCATTTTCTTAAACTGACAGGGCATTCTCGGTTTCTTTTCTTCTCCCCAAGGTTTCGAGGGGTGCTGCTTTTAAGTTTAATTGCAGTGGTCATGCATTTTTACTCACCTGTCCGCCACTATGCTCATGTTTCAGTATACGATCAATATACATTCCCATGACGCCTACAGAGACTTATCTTAACACGATCACTAATTCTTATCTAAAGTGGCTGGCTGATATTAGAGCGAATACGGATTCAAATCGGCTGATGTTCGGGTTGTTCATAAACTCCGGATAGTGGGGGACATGGAGGTGATGGTCTATGAGACTATGACCCTCATGACCTCGGAATCAAGAAGGATGAGACACCGAAAAATTGAAAGCCCTTGGATGCCATTCTAGCTTCTCTATACTCCTAGATATCGAAGAAATCGTCATTTATTCCAGCTTCTCCATGAAACACATTTCCCTCCGACCTATATCCCGCTGACTAACAAGGGCCCTCTTATCCCTGTTTGTCCCCAGGCGCATAGCCTTGAACGTCATCGTCAAGTGGTTGCCCCAGCTAACCAGACTTGGCCTATCTCCCAGTTTCCCCTTCAGCTCCGCATTCTTGCTCTCTCAACACCAGCATAGCGGTCTAGAGAAGGGCAAATCATGTCGTCTTTTCGCCTGTTGATTGAAGATGGCCAGTTCCGTGATGGATACGGTCGACAAGTAGTCCTCCGTGGTATCAATCTCGCAGCCGATGCCAAACTCCCGAGCGAACCCGATCAACCATCTCACATTCCCACTGACTTCTTCGATGGCGATAATGTAACGTTCCACCAGCGTCCTTTCCCCAAAGAAGATGCACGATCTCATTTTGCGCGCCTCAGACGATACGGCTTCAACACTATCCGCTACATCTTTACCTGGGAGGCACTCGAGGCCGCAGGACCTGGGAAATACGACGAAGACTTCATCCAACATACGATTGATATTCTGAGAATAGCAAAGGAGTATGGATTCTATATATTCATGGACCCTCACCAGGACGTTTGGTCTCGTTTCACTGGTGGTTCGGGAGCCCCGTTATGGACTATATATGCATGCGGCCTCAACCCTCAGAGCTTCGCCGCGACTGAAGCAGCAATTGTTCAGAATACATATCCCAACCCTGATGAGTTTCCAAAAATGATCTGGTCAACGAACTACTATCGACTTGCAGCTGGTACCATATTCACCATGTTTTTTGCTGGCAAAGACTTTGCTCCAAAGTGTATAATTGACGGTGTGAACATCCAGGATTACCTGCAGGACCATTTCATGAGAGCATGCGGCCAACTTGCCCGGCGAATTCACGAGGCAGGCGATCTGGAAGATGTCGTTGTCATTGGCTGGGAGAGCATGAACGAACCAAACAAGGGCATGACTGGCTATAAGGATCTTACTGTGATCCCCAAAGAGCATCCTTTGAAGAAGGGAACCTGCCCAACAATGTGGCAGACGTTATTGACTGGAATGGGACGAGCGTGTGAAGTCGATACCTGGGAGATGGGCGGCCTTGGCCCTTACAAGACTGGCACAAAATTGGTTGACCCCCATGGCGAGGTCGCATGGCTACCAGCAGACTATGACGATTCAAGATATGGTTGGAAGCGCGATCCTGGCTGGAAGCTTGGCGAGTGCGTCTGGGCACAGCATGGAGTTTGGGACATGGAGACCGATACCCTCCTTCGCAAGGACTATTTTGCCAAAAACCCGAATACCGGTAAGGTCATCGATTATCCGCAATTCACCAATACCTATTTCATGGACTTCTGGCGGAAATATGTCAAAATTTGCCGTGCCGTCCATAAGGACTGCATTATGCTTATGCAGTTTCCTACACTCGAATTACCGCCCGAGATCAAAGGGACGGAAGACGAGGATCCTCGAATGGCGTTCACACCGCATTACTACGACGGTATCACACTCATGACAAAACACTGGAATAGCACGTGGAATGTTGATGTGGTCGGAGTCTTGAGAGGCAAGTACTGGCATCCAGCGCTGGCGATCAGGATCGGAGAGACGGCTATTCGAAACTGTCTCCGTGACCAGCTCGCAACACTGAGACAAGAGGGCCTTGACCGTATAGGAAAGCACCCCTGCGTGTTGTCAGAATTTGGTATTCCCTATGATATGGATGACAAGAAAGCCTACAAGACAGGCGACTATTCGAGCCAGTCGGCGGCAATGGACGCCAACTACTTTGCAGTTGAAGGATCTCAGATCGAAGGGCATTGCTTATGGACATACTGTGCGAGAAACGATCATCTAAGGGGAGACTTTTGGAATGGAGAGGATCTGTCCATCCTTTCGCTGGATGACAAACCACTTCCAGAATCCCCCGTTCCCGAATATTCGCAGTCGTCGCTGGATCTGGCGAGGACTGCGACCGCGGCAAACACGAAGAAGGATGTGGCTGATGATCGAAATGTTACACCCGACAACCTCAAACGGACACTCACCAATCCGTCGATCAGCTCCGCGCCCTCAGCCAAGGATCCTCAGCTAACCAACGCCCCTGGCTTCCGTGCAGCTGAGGCTTTCGTGCGCCCTACGCCGACGGTGGTATATGGTGACATTGTGTCCACCGGATTTGATTTGCGACAGTGCACATATCTTCTCAAGGTCAAGGCACCAAAAGCAGCACCAGATGAGTCGCCTACGATTGTGTATTTGCCTGAGTACCATTTCCCCAAAGAACAGTGCGAGGTGGCTGTGTCCTCAGGCAAGTGGGAGCTTAGCACAGATGACGAAGAGGGCACAACACTGCAGAAACTCAAGTGGTGGCACGCAGAGGGAGAGCAGAGCCTCAAGATCTCGGGTCTCGTGCGGAAGCACAACGTTCCTGTAGGATCCGAGGAGGATGCTGGCTATCTTGAGCAATGCCAGCAAGGCTACGGATTCAATTTTGGAAGCTGCAGTGTTATGTGAGCTGAGCCTTGTTTGAGACAAGGCACGTATAAGTCGCATCAAATTCAGTGTATGGTAGGTTGAGTTACGTCTGGCGAGCATGTTCTGGGACACGGCGTTTAAGGTTTAATATTGAAAGATACATCTGATTGGATACCTTGAAATGCGACTTGACACCGTTTCTACCGGTGAATCGTGAACTTTGTCAATCGGGTAGGTAATTTCTATACGAAGAGTACATGAAGTCAGGTTCTGGCCACGGAGGTTTTCCCAGTCAAGCCAATCTCCTCGGCCCGCTAATTGGATCGCGATATAAAAAGTTCTCCGGCTTACCGTTCTCAGTAGAGTACAATTCATGATACAGAATCTCGTGTTCAGTGTGACGCCACAGGAAAGGACCTTCAATTCGTAATTTTTCCATAGCCGAGGGGATGTCCGCTTGTGGGGAGTCCCAATGCTCTGGTAAGGGGGAATTGACTTCAAGGTGTCCCTAGTCAGGAACATTCTCGTATTCATGATACCAGGTTATCTGAGTTGCCATGGGTTATGATCCAGGGGTTCTGTGGACCTAGACAATGGAAAGAGGAAGATAATACATAAATAAACGGAGGGTTTAGAAAAGTCTGGCAGATGATGTTGAGTGTAGAGGTGAAAGTGAACAAAACATAACGGTCCTATGACAACCATTCCGAAAATGACAATTCCAATGGAAGAAGTTGAAAATAGCACAGGCAGGAATTGTCAATTGGTGCCCCCCATTACCCGAGCCTCGCGACATTTGAATGATGCCGATTTGCTGGAGATCCCCCTCCATTAGTGAAGCTAGCGCATGTCTTTTCACACTCTGCACACCATCTCAGCTGTCGCTAAGCGCCAGACGCCCTCGAGCTGAAAGCCTAACGTGAGAACATGGCGCAGTCAGGTTCGAAAGGTCTGCTTCCCTTCTACTGAGGGGAACGTGAGGAGAAAACAGAGTTTCCCGTTTAACGGCTCGGAATAAAGCTGATAGTCAAGCCGTAACTAGCTAAGTCGAGCTATTCGAGTACAGTACTGCATTAGTTTAGTGGTTTTACTATTCTTTGTTCGATCAATCAATATTGCACGTGTTGGTCTAACTTAGTCGTCAACTCCAGAACTTACTGCTCCTCACTCACTATCTCAACCGTCAGCTTCTCCCGTCTGCCAACAATCAATCAATCGTCTCCTCCTCACTCCCATCCCAGTCCTCCACTCCACAATCCCTGACATCTCAGCATCCGTCTCTATCCCATCCTAGCTTGGTCTGGCCTAGGCTAGCCCCCAGGATCCTTGTCGAGACGACCCACCTCGACATGTTACTCCACCGCAGATACAAACCATGAAGGGTAGCGATAGCTTGCGACGGGTTAACCGTCCGGCTGCCAATTTCGACCTACCACCAGCTCAGGCACAGGCCCAGGCTCAGGCTCATGCCCAGGCGCAACAGCAGGCTCTTCGGTCTCAATCTCAGCCTCAAGAGCCCATCTTAGAATCTATAACCTCGACGAGCCCAGAAATCACCACTTCTTCGCTCCATTCTCAGCCTCAGTCTCTCTCAACCGCCAAGTTCCGTTCCTCTTCGAGACCCAGTCTTCAGGACCTAGTCCCTGTCGCCGGGACTCCAAAGCCAAACGTCCACGACCAACCTCCAGCCTATGCCCTGTCGTCCTCATCCTCCTTGACGGGGCCATCCTCTTTTTCATATCCTCCAGCGCATCCAACTGCTGGCGCCGCAACAATACATACCCATACAACCCATACACATCCGCATACGCACACACATACTGCCCCGGCGGCTGTCAATCGACCCCGGCCCCTGGGCCCATCCTCCTCCGACATAGCGACTGCAGAGCAGGCTCACTTCCTCCACCCTGTCCCATCTGCCTCGAGCTTACGTCCAAGGTCTTCCACCACTAGCGCCACTGCTGTTGCTGTCTCCCCGTCTCCAGCGCATACACCGAATTCTCTTCTTCGACAACACACCTCGCCGCCGTCTACCGTCGACAACAACTCTGCCCACTTTGTTCCTCGAGGCGGGTTGCCCCCCGCGCCGTCCATCATGTATCCGGCAGGCCAGAGACATGTCTCGGGCGCCGATCCCACACGACCATTCCAGGTCCCTCCGCCGCCGCCGCCGCCCATGGGAGCTCCGAATGCCGGCCAAATAGGTAATATGATGAACCTGCCTCCGCCGCCGCCGCTTCCTCGATATCCCACCGCACCAGGCCCCTCCGGCGTCGCGATACCCCCACCACCCGGTCCGCCTCCGGCGAGTGCTCTCGGCCAGCAGCCTCCGTGGCACGGCGCCTTTGGGCGCATGTACGACGGACGGCCAGGATACATCCCCCCGCCGCCGCCCGGTCAGCACCAGCCGTACAACCCAAAGTTACACGCTCAGATCGCTGCTGGGCAAACAATCTCTATCCCTCCACCTCCTCCGCCGAATGAGGCCATGAGTGCGACCTATATACCGCAGGGCGACACATACGGAGAGGGAGTTGGTATCCCCGCCTTTGGACTGGAAGACCCAACCCTGACTGTCAACTCGCAGACATCGCGGCCAGTGACAACGCCGCAGAGCGGAACTGACACAAATGTCACAACGCCTATGGACGAGGCTACGAGGGAACGCCTCTATTCTGCCAATAACGCCCAGCCGCGCGGCACATCCAATTCTTCAAACGCCACTCCTCCCAGCTCGATCCCACCGGAAATCGCTGCCCAGTGGCCCCTCGACACGGTTCTGATTTGGTTAGCCCAGAACCAGTTCTCCAAAGACTGGCAGGAAACCTTTAGGGCACTCAACCTGCACGGAGCGCAATTCCTCGAGCTTGGAAGTGGCCACGGTGGGCGTGGTAATTTTGGTATGATGCATCAGCAGGTGTATCCAAGGCTTGCCCAGGAGTGCACCAACAGCCGAACCGGCTGGGACCAGCCCCGTGAGCGAGAGGAGGGCAAGCGAATGCGAAGACTAATTCGAAGTATTGTCACCGGTCGACCAGCTGATGTGTCTAAAGTTTCAACGGCCCATGGCCGTAAAGAATCCCTCAATGGCGGACATGGGAACAACCTACCAAGCGCTGGAACTGATCCCATGGATTCGCCAAATGTTTGTCGACCCGCTCGGTGCTGTGAGTGTTGGCCCTTACTAACTTTTCTTGTAGACACCTCTCAATGCCCCTGGCCCTGGTTTTGGCGGCCGCAGGTTCTCCCAGACCAGATCTACGACATTACCCAACAGTGTCAGTGGGTCCAACATAAGCTCTGAGTCTAACCACCGTAATATTCTCAAACATGTCGATACAGATGGTGCGCGCCGTCATAGTCCTAACGTTAGTGAGTCGAGTGAGGCCACGTTCCGTGGTCCTGCTGCGCGCTCAGCGAGTCCAACAGGCAGCCCAGGCATACCCCCTGCTCTTTTTACGTCGACGACGACACCTATTCTCTCACAATCTCCTAACACAATGAAAGCTGGGCACCGTTCAAGAAGCAGCATGGATTCTGTTGCCTCTGTCGCAGCCATATATGGATCTGGGGTACCGTCAGACGCCGTCAACTTACTTAGCCGGAACATGAACCTGGGAGAAATTGTTCATGGGCGAAATCATGATATCCGATCTCGCCACTCGCCTTCAGAAGGAGGGGAGAGGTCAGCAGGCGCAGAGACACCCGCTTCGGCCAAAGATTCCAAGAGCTTCCTGAGCTTCTTATCCAGGAAAAAGAGGCAAACCAAAGATGATGGTGCATACCCATCACCTGAAGAGATGGAGGCTTCCCCAACTTCACCACAAGGATCTATTCGCCCGGTGGGCTTGGGCGTTCGAGGAACCAATGGCAGCGATACTAATCTCGAGCTTGCTGGCTCAACGCTGGGCAGTTATGATGACAAGAACGGCTATGCTCTACGGCCAAGGAGAATCAGCCCCGTAAGGACCTACGTACTGGCCACCATGGATTACTGGAACTACCGAATGTGCGACATCACAGAAGCAGAGACAGCAGCGGAAGTCCGTCAAGTTATCTGCATGCATCTTGGTCTTGGCGACTTTGAAAATTCTCACATTTATCTTACAGAAGTTGGCAAGTTTGAACATGTGGATCCTCTAGACGACTCGAGCCTTATTACCGTCAAACGAGCAAAGGGTGACCCTCTTGGGACACTTAAATTCTTCGTGACACCCCCAGGAGTTGCCCCCATTTCCAGTCTTGCCGTTAAAGCTGAAGTCCCTGTATCCTTGTCTCCTGGTTATCTCCCGCCGGGAACCACTGCCGAGGATGCCCAACGAAATAGCAGACAGCGGTCCAGTTCATCGCCCCCCACCTCGCGTTCTAATACATTGACAGATGAGAAGACTGAGGATAAGGTAGCCCGGGAGGCAAGTTCATATAGAGCTGAAATGGAGAGAAAGCAGCGTGAGTATCTGGCCAAAAGGAAGCAAGCAGCGATGAAGGGTAGTCCTTCAGAGACACTTGGACCTGGTATCGTCGGCCGAAACGTCGATTTCGACCAACCTCGTGAGTCCCCGTATGAGGACAAGAGGCCAGAGCAACTCTTCCCCCAAAGACGACCTCCAGCCCCACCAAGCGATCCTTCTGCGACATTGATCAAGGCGAACTCCCTAAGCAGAAAGACTGGAGCCAGTATGCGCGCATCAAGTAGCAGTCTTGAGGGTTATCCAACACCACGGCATCCAACTGAGAGTGAGATGACGGAGAAGTCCAGGAGATCCAAGGGAACATCGCAACCAGCTGCAGGTCCTGCTGGTATTGGGGCAGCCCTTGCAGGTATGGGCAGAAACTTGAGCGCTATTGGACAATCTGCCAAGAACAATCGTGGCTCTTCTCCCTCCCGATCCTCAACACAATCAATTCCCGGAGGTAAGGACACCTTCTCTAGCGTCGACCCTCCTCAACCAAGCTTGGGTCGAGATAGTCCCAGTACAATAGCAACACCAGGAACCGTAACCTGGAGCAAGAAGAACTTGCCCTTTATTGTGCCGGACTACTCGCCCAGCCAATCACCTATGCTAAGCCCTAATCTTGAAGCTGCACCAGAAGCTAAAATCTTTGAAACAGTCCCGAGGGCAACATCTCCTACTGATATGAGCCCCAACTCGAGACGTACAAGGGGCACTTTCGCCCCAGACCATCCGTCCCCTCCAAAACGACGTGCAACTCATGGGCCAGACCCAGACTTTGAGGACTCGGACGTCCAGTTTTCGAAGCCTGCTCCCGCACCACCAGCTGACGATGATAGCGGGGATGATTCGGACGACGGGCTCTTTGCCATTCCACTTGCCAACCGAAACAAGGGCAAGGGTGCTGCTGCGAATGGTGATGCAAATGGTCACAACAAGCGTCCTAGTCTAACGGTTAATACGGCGCGCTCCAGGAAGGGTCTCTCTGTTGCCTTTACATCACCCAAGTCATATGGCAGTAGCGTGACTCCTGACAGTAACGAAGATTCCCGACATAAGCCAACTACTCCTCGTTCCGAAACGTGGGAATCGGAAGACAAGGACAAAGACAGTAAACTCGGCCGACGAAAATCGTTCATCGAGAAGGATGTCTGGGCTAATCGCCCTCCAACGGACGCCCTTATCAATAACCTTGACGACTTCTTCCCCAACCTGGATCTTGATCAACCTGTTCTTGATGAACCTGGCGAAGGTGGACTGCCACCATCTCCGATTGCCGAGGGCACAGAAACCACATCTGATCAAGGGCCATCCCAGCCGGCAGTGTCGAGCCACACTCAGCAAGCACCGCCTGCAGCGATTCCGCCGTCCCGGCAGCCATCTCTGTACAATGAAAACGATACTCTTGGCTCCGACGAGTCAACCCTCAAAGCCCTCGATCAACAGCGGCCCACTTCTGTGGCTGCGAGGAGTATTCGGCGCTCAGGCGGTCTCGGTCGAATGAAGTCCATTCGAGAAGTCGCCCGCGGCGCTCACGAGGCCAACAAGCGAACCAATTCAACTAATCAAGGACCGTCGTCAGGCAACATTATGCGCCGAAAGAGTACAAAGATGTTCAACGCCAACATTGTACAAATTCGACCGGATAGACGTGGCAGCGTCATAATGCCGCAGATTCCTCAAGATACAGTGCCAAAGCGACAGACGACATTTAGGTGGTTCAAGGGTCAGCTCATCGGCAAAGGTACTTACGGCCGAGTGTACCTCGGTATGAATGCCACTACAGGAGAGTTCCTGGCTGTCAAAGAGGTCGAGGTGAACCCCAAGGCGGCTGGTGGTGACAAGAGCAAGATGAAGGAGCTTGTTGCGGCTCTAGACCAGGAAATCGACACAATGCAGCACCTGGACCATATCAACATTGTGCAATACTTGGGTTGCGAGCGAAAGGAAACTAGTATTAGCATCTTTCTTGAGTATATTTCTGGTGGCAGCATTGGATCATGTCTGCGCAAGCATGGCAAGTTTGAGGAGTCTGTCGTGTCTTCACTAACAAGACAAACACTCTCCGGCCTCGCCTATCTACATCGTGAGGGTATTCTGCATCGCGATCTCAAGGCCGACAACATTCTTCTTGATTTAGACGGAACGTGCAAGATCAGCGATTTCGGCATCTCCAAGAAGACAGACAACATTTATGGCAATGATAAGACAAACAACATGCAAGGTTCGGTATTCTGGATGGCCCCAGAGGTCATTCGGTCCCAAGGCGAAGGTTACAGCGCCAAGGTCGACATTTGGAGTCTGGGTTGTGTAGTCCTGGAGATGTTTGCTGGCAAGCGCCCATGGGCCAAGGAAGAGGCTGTTGGTGCCATCTACAAGATTGCTAATGGCGAGCGACCACCGATCCCCGAGGACATCCAGGATACTCTTGGACCACTGGCCGTTGCCTTTATGATGGATTGCTTCCAAGTGTAAGTTTCTTGATATGACAATGCTGTCCGCAATGCTGACAAGAAGACAGAAACCCCTTCGACCGTCCTACAGCGGATGTGCTCCTGTCGCAGCACCCGTTCTGTGAACTGGATCCAAACTACAACTTTTATGACACAGTGCTGTATCACAAAATCAAGTCGTTCAAATAAACTAGCTATAGATACACGATCTTGAACGAGGTGGTTAATTATTCTTCCCTTCTTTTTTTGTTTGTATTAGTGGCATGGGAGTTAGTTATACGCTTTTGAAGTTCGAGAGCGACGGCGTCATTATGGGAACACGGCTTGATAGCTGATTGGCATTGTTTATGTACGGGTGGATGCAAATGGTAATGAAATGAACGGTTGGATGGCTGATGATATCCGATACTGTGAAGTATGTATCAAGTGACTGCAAGTTGTAGACTTGCGTGATGATTTTATGCCTATTCGGGCAGAGACAGTGATATCTAGATGCTGTTGCCTGGATCTGGCAGAAGTTTTGGTTCACACAGTCAAGACGTTGAAGCATTCGAAACACACCCATTTCTCAATTCAACTTAGATAACGTGCTCAAGGCATGAGATCAGAACCCTGTGTGTCCGTACGAGTCTGAAAGAGTTACTAGACTAAAGTAGTCACAAGCAGCTACCGTGGATGGAGGATCCGTTGAAATGATCAAAAGAAATGCCCAAGCTACTTGAAGTCAATATGTGTCTACCTCTCATACCTTAGTATATGTTTAATATGGGGTTTATTAGACCGCTACTGGGCCTCTGCCCCATCATATGGGTGCGTGTCAGTCGTCACTACTCCAAAGTTAACGCAAATTAAGCCTTGTAAAAACAGAAGTTTATCTCTTGAGGAATATCACCAAGATGGCGCACTGTTATAAAAGTCCACATCTCCGATCAGTACTATTACAAGATCATTCATTTTAATACACTCGAGTTTTTATCCAGCACATGCGGCTCCTCTCGCGCCTATCAACATTTTGATATATTCTACAGCACTGTTCATGGCCGACCCTGACACGGAAGTCGCTGCTCGAGTACTATGCAGCTTATTCAAAGATCGAGGCAACAAGGAAACTGGCCAGTCTTCATTGCCAACCCCTCCATTGTCGGATGATCAAGTTCATGTCACAGTTAGTCCATCTCCATCACAAACAAAGATACTACAGTGTCTAGAACCTGCGATTCCGCCCCGGCAATGTCACCTCCCTGTCCGTTTGGTCCTAGACCATCCCTCTCTGACTCCAGGGGCGAAGTCTACTCATTCCCAACTCTTGCTCTCAAATCGAGAAGGGAACTCACAACCCAACCGTCCTGTATTACACGTCAGGGGCTTGTTTTGCAGCAATAAGCTTCCCGCACTACCTGACCCTGATCCGAATCCAGATCGGCAGCTGTCGTATCATGCGGACGGCACTTGGGAAGAAGGCGCAGCGGCATTGAGCTTACTCCTCGTCAACCTTCCTGACCTACGCAACTACGAGGGAGAGATGCTGGAAATGAGGTATTCCCTCGAGGAAAATATGTTTGAGCTCTGCCGCCTCATGGAGCATAGAGATGGTGGCCTTCCGAGGGAGCTTGTCGAGAAGAAGATGATGTATTACTTGGAGTTCATCTTCAGGTTGGCCGGAGAAGGAGACGAGCAAAGGACCATCCTCGAGCAGGAACGGGCAAAGATGGAACTTGCTTTGAGTTGGGTATCGGGCCTCATTAGGCATTGGGACGAGCATGTATCTACAGTGCTTTTCGCTGATGCAGTGGAGCAGAATCCTCATCATCACCAGCGACACCAGGGGGCAAATTAGAGGTTGTCGCTGAAGTTTGGTGCACACAGCAATTGAGGACGCTTTCACGCATTCTTTTGATTAGCTCTTCCCGCGAATCCTTACTCATAAAGAGAACCATTCAACCCATCTCGCTTCATTACAATATTTCGTGTATTCTCAATATAAGTAGCAAGGTTTCTTTCCTCGACAGGTACCATAACAAGTAACTTGACTCACTCGGACTTTTCAAACCTAGACCATCATTCTTTACCCTCGGCCTCCCTTGTCTTTCCAGCCTGTCCTCTGCCGGGGGCTCCATCAAATTTTGACTTCCAGATATCCTCCTGTTTGAACATTGCGATGCATTCAGCAGCACTTGGCTGCCCGTATTCAGGATCCGCGCCGCCATCTAGCAACTCCTTAGTTTTATTGTTAGTATTGTGATTTAGTTCCTCTCTGAAAAGAAATTTTAATCCGGGAATAACTTCAGAGAATGACTCACTTGAATTACTGCGTCTTCCTTCTTGAACACTGCCCCAGCGAGAGGACTCTGCCCTCGGTCATTGAGACGATTAGGGTCCGCACCATGTTGAATGAGAACCTTTACTAAATCGGCGTGGCCGTGGTACGCAGCGAGCATAAGCTTCGATTGTCAGCACAAGCTTCTTGAAGAAAATTTGCTCGAGATATACTCGAGTATCATGGGCATACCAGAGTATCGCCCTTGTCGTTTGTCAGATTTGGAGGTAGGCCTGCTGGGAGAGCCTGCTCAAACGTAGCCACGTCTCCCTTTCTCGCAGCATCGTACATCCTGCTTGCGAATTCTATCATCTCCGGCGTGAGAGATCCCGCGCGGGCTGGTTGGTTTGAAGCGTCGCTCATGATGGTGCCTTTATTGCTGCCTTGGGCACGTTTATGTGATGTCTCGGTTGGCAAGGTTAATGAGCGCAAAAGTTCAAAATCGTAAGTAAGCCACAAGCGAAATTTCGATTCTGGGTGCTCCTGGTGTTGATGTGATGATGGAGAAGAAGCCCCGAGTTACGAAGCGAAGTTGAATGAAATGACGTATGCTATGGCTTTATCATATGGCGTAAATGCCGGTAAGGCAGTTTAATGGGACAGTTACGGAGGCGTACTTCAAAAGCAGATGATGACGATGTTTTCATAAAATAATAACATTGCGCAAAACTATTTGCTAAGCTGCCTTTCTTGGAAAATCTTATTTCCAGTTGCTCTCTCGTGTCATTCTTCGTGATATCAATACTCAAACTCAATCTGCATCACGCCCTTGGTGGTCTCTGACCTCAAAACTCATATGCCCAAGTTCCCAGGCTCAACGACTCTTAAGAAAAAGAAGAAGAAGAAAAAAGTCTCATCACCGATAATGAGTCTCGTATTTCGCTCATAGACTAGCAATGGGAAAATAATGTGATCGCGATGCATTCTCGTACAGTTGTGTTTACAATGGGATAATTGTTCAAAAACGCCGCAAGTAGAGCATCAATTCGTTTCATGCTAACCATTTCTGATCAGTCGAAAAATAGTGAGTATCATCAGAGAACCTACCGTAAGGTACACTCGTTTATCTCAAACGCTCATTTCATACTGCATTTAGTGCAGAAAGTCTGTGATACCATCGCCCTCGCCATTGTCTGGCTCGTTCGGAATCGGCGGGTCAGGTTTTGGCGTCTCTGGACGATGCGCAATGTCAACGATCGGGTTCATGATGATTTTTGTGTGTTCGCCTTTCTTCTGATGATGTTTTTTTCGTCTCTTTAGGGACAGTTCGATCGAGAGGATGATGGTTCTTTACCGTCAAACATTAAAGAGGGAGATGGGTGGGATATATAAAAGCAAAAAGTCAACTAACAACGCGGGGGGGGGGGGCACCTTACGTTACGTCAGGGTTTTGTGAGCCATCTAAATCATTGGAGGAGTTGAGCCGAAGACAAACAACGTGTGGTTTACATTCCATCCATTCCAACTCAACAATTGCCGCGTGGGTTAATAAGGGGTTGCAGTTGGGTATCGCAAGCACCGTAGTGAGTGATCATGCGATTCTTCAAGGCCCAACGTCGGTTATGTCTGATATCCTCAAAAGGGCCGTTAAGTTCCAGGACCATGGATATCATTTAAACAACATTTTATAGTTGACAGAGAATGCGGGGGGTTGGGGATTGTTTTACAGATCTTTGGTAACATGTCCTTGCTTTTTCCGCGGATCTGGATAATCAATCGTTGGTAAAGGTCCCTGAGCATAGGGTAAATGAATTGTTATAAGTTATCTATCATGGTACACTGCATTGCACATTGAACATGGTCTCGATACTTGCATGATATGATATGATATGACATGACATCAAGCATGTGATTCGAGCCTCACGACATGCAATAAAATCGACCTGACCCTGAACCTCTCTTCGTCATTGCTGACTGATGCCAGCAATTACAGAGACACCTTTTGCCTCTGGAAAAACACCATTTTCTTTTGAAAGAACCGCCTGGACCAGACAAAAATGCTCATCGCTCAACTTTCCCCATGTAGCCCCCATCACGATGTGGAAGTCTGACAGGGACAGGGAGCAAGGGTCGAGGAAACCCAATTGGTTGTGACATCCTTGGAGCAGTTAACAAAAGACAGACAGACACAAATAATTGACAGTTGACAAGTGTGTCTTTTGTCGAAAATTGAGCGAGATCGGCGTCTTGGACGTTTCGGGGTCTGCATGAGGCCGCTTTCGATAGCATCAGCCCTTGAACAACATGTAGTCTACATATTCTTAGAGATCTTCAACACCACGCTTAGATTACCCGAAGCAGCATTTCGGAAACAAAGCGATGGAAGAAAACCAGCCAGAATGGGATTGTTGCCAAGTTTGCCCATTGCTACAATCTCCATTCCCCTGATATTTTTGTACTTCTGATGTTGGGTGGCTGAACTAACAGTCGGATCCGGCGGGAGAGGATACTTCGGCTTGTGATCCTACCAACAAGATGAGGGGTAGCTCTCTACTCAAAGCGGTTCAGTTCCTAGACTACCTCATGGCAAATTTGGTTCTCAATTGATCGGCATCGAAATCTCAAGCTTGGATTTGGCCGAGTTTTCCACTGATGGGTAGGACTCGAATCCTTTGCGGATCGCTTTTTAGCGGGAGACGTAATATCAGATCAGGGCAAAGCGGGTGTCGTGCATGCATGAGACGGACTAGACTGTCTAGATTACCATCAACCTCTGAGCTGTACGGACGGTGCATGCGGTCACGTCGGATAAAATGGAGGATACAGACAGAGAGAGGTCAAAGTCAAAACCAAAAGGTCCACCATGAGTTGCTTGCATCCATCCTTGGGGGGCGTGTGTGCATGGAGAGGAGAGGAGAGGAGGAAGCGCTTTGTGAGACGAGTAAGTGGATATATCTTCCCCGGAACGCTCAGGACCAAGAGAGGCCCTTGTTGATCAACTCGAATATTGAGGTTTTGGAGAAATGATTGACCATCGTCGAGTCCAACAAGTCAGAGAGACAAAAGGGTTCGTGTACGACCTCAGAAGTTGGGGATTCACTGACCCAAGGTATGCATCTCGGACAGGTCACAGGCCCGCCCTTTGCGTGCGGCTGCGTAACCCTACAGTACTGTACGGTACAGCAGAGTTTCCTCTCCAGTAAGACAATGCGCAGGAATTATCATAACTCATAAAGCATGCCACAAACTGACTCTTCATAATCCCCAATCTTTGGTTGGGAACCCAATCGGCTGGTAGGCGGCCAATTTGCGTTGCATTTCAGACCACCAAACACGTCGGGTGAGCTGCTACCGACCCGATATGAGATGCCATCATGAGAAAAATTGAAAGGACATTCTCGTACAATTGAGGCTAGGGTAAAAGTATCATGATATCAGTCCTTGAGGTGTTCTAACATCAGATGTTAGTTGGGTCAGCCACAGACGATACATGACGAAAGGATACGGGTACTTGACTTTAGCCTCTGGCTCGCGTGGATTTGCAAGTACAGGCCGACTAAACCCGTGTACTTCCGGCACCCGCACCCGTCTAAACCGTAAGCGGGTCTCCACCAGCGGCCGGGTCCTCCCACTGAGTCTGCCTCTCCCAACATCCTCCTCCTCCTCCTCCTCCTCGTTCCTCCACCTTGGTTCATCATGGATGGCCATGATCCATTGATTATTACACCCCTGTCAACTCTCTTCTTTCCCCCCTGGGGCCCCAATCAAAGCTCCCCATTCTCCAGCTTAGTCCCCTGCCCGTCAGATGTCAAGCATGTCCTGCGTGGCCATCTGTGACCTGGAAAATCAAGCAGCTTGCCTATTGATTATGCTACTGATAGTCAAAAACGACTGACTGTCGACGTGAAATAAGGCCCGACTAGCTAACATGCCACATTCTGAACCTTCTGGGCACTGTCTGTTTCAACCTGCTTGCTGACTCCTGAGCCTGCTCTCAATTTATCCCCACGAATCAAGGGTTACGAAACGATTCTACACCAATACTCTGCTACACTAGAAACGCCCTCGTTGGCTCTACCAAGCCCATCAGCACTTTGACCAATTTGACTCTGCGATTGACTTTCGTAGTGATTACGATTACAATCCTCAGCGCCTCTCACAGCACGAGCTCGGTAACACAAGGGAATATACCTACAGCGGGAGGTGGCGCTAGCAATGCCCGTCCCGTTTTGGTGGCTGCAAAAACACTATCAAGATACAAAGATACATCAGACCACTTTTTGCAACGACCGTCAACAACCATCGTCACCATCCGAAGCTCCAGAACGTGTCAAAGCTATCCACCTTTGACTCGTTCTTGGCTCATATGTGCCAACAAGAAACAAGAGCTAATAAGCTAGCCAACCTTACTTGGGCACCTATACCGATCTCCCCTTCTGTGCCGCCGGCGGAGGATGAGATATCGACGTCCTCCAGGCAGACCACTTCGCTGCTCATCCCATCCCATTCCACTGTCCTGTCCGGTCCGTCTTCCTTGCTCTCTTCCGCTCCTTATGCCTCTTCTGAATAGGCAGGGTAGGTTAGGCAATTGAGAACGTCCCCCACGCACGCCACTATCTTGGCCTTCGCTCATCTCATTACCCATCTGTGTCTGAACTTTGAGCCGCCCAGCTACCTCCTACGGTACTACGTGCCATCCAATCCGTAACAGTGGTAATTTACACCCACGCCCTCGCCCTCGCCCTCAGCCGTGCAGAAAACCTATCCCATCTCCCTCGTACTCCAATTGGATCACCATCCTGCTGTAACCTCTGCTGATCTCGTCAACGGCCGTCTACCCATACGTAGTAGCTCCATGGGCCATGGGTTTACGTTACCCTACCCAATCTGCGGCAAAGACTTCAAACTAAGCATGGTATAGTATGTACATACATGTTGTAGCATGTAGCAGGTAGGAATAGCATAGCCTTTCCCTTCGGCGTTCTCTCACCGCACTCCCCGTTATGCTCTATACCTACCTCTCTTCTCCTCTTTCCTTGGCAACCCTTTCAGCTTTCTCATATAAGAAGTCTTGGAAGCTCTGCGTATAGAGTTCTCTCCTTTGTTCTTTTCTTCTCATCTCTCATCCGAAGAGTTCAACCTCACTTACAGCTCTTACAACCTCATCACTTATATATATATATATATATATATATCCTAATCACCCTACCCCAATGACTGAGGAAGTCAAATCTATCTCGCCCTTCGGCATTGCCCGCTCAACTGTCAAGGGCGAGCCTCTCTCCAAGGAGGAGATCCAGCAGTACAATGACTTCTTCAAGGCCAGCTGCTACCTCTCCTTAGGTATGATCTACCTCAAGGAGAACCCTCTTCTTCGAGAACCCCTCAAAGCCGATCATCTCAAGCTTCGATTGCTTGGTCATTTTGGCTCTGCCCCCGGCCAAATTTTCACATACATGCACTTTAACCGTCTGATCAAGAAGCACGATCTTGACGCTCTCTTCATCTCTGGTCCCGGACACGGTGCCCCCGCTGTCCTGTCTCAGTCTTATCTGGAGGGTGTCTACACCGAGGTGTACCCCGACAAGACTCAAGATGCTGAGGGTATGCAAAAGTTCTTCAAGAGCTTTTCGTTCCCCGGTGGAATTGGCTCCCATGCTACTCCGGAAACCCCCGGATCTCTCCACGAGGGTGGTGAACTGGGTTACTCCATCTCACATGCTTTTGGTGTTGTCTTCGATAACCCCAACTTGATTGCTCTTACTATGGTCGGTGATGGTGAGGCCGAGACTGGTCCCCTGGCTACCGCCTGGCACAGCAACAAGTTCCTCAACCCAATTGTTGACGGTGCTGTCCTCCCTGTTCTTCACCTCAACGGTTACAAAATCAACAACCCTACAGTCCTTGCTCGAATCTCACACCGAGAACTCGAATGCCTCTTCATCGGTTATGGCTGGCAGCCATACTTTGTTGAGGGTGACGATGTTGAGACTATGCACCAGGCTATGGCTGCTACTCTCGAGCACTGCGTGGACGAGATTCGAAAGATTCAGAAGGAGGCTCGTGAGTCCGGCGAGGCCAAGCGACCTCTGTGGCCCATGATCGTTCTCCGAAGTCCCAAGGGCTGGACTGCCCCTCGAAAGGTTGACGACAACTACCTGGAAGGTTACTGGCGAGCTCACCAGGTCCCCATCGCAGACCCCGCCACAAACCCTGCTCACCTCAAGGTCCTTGAGGATTGGATGCGAAGCTACGAGCCTGATCGTCTATTTGACGAGTCTGGCGCGCCTATTGCCTCTCTCCGTGCTCTTGTGCCTGAAGGTAACCGACGAATGAGCGCCAACCCCGTCGCCAACGGTGGTGCACTCAGGAAGCCGTTGAGAATGCCCAACTTCAAAGACTATGCCATCAAGGTTGACAGCCCCGGAAATGTCATGAACGCCAGCATGACCAACATGGCTGTCTTCCTCAAGGATGTCATTGCTGAGAACCAGACAAACTTCCGTCTCTTTGGTCCTGATGAGACTGAGTCTAACAAGCTTGGCGGTGTCTACGCTGCCGGAAAGAAGGTCTGGATGGGCGAGTACTTTGAGGAGGATGCCAACGGTGGTAACCTTGCCAAGGCTGGCCGTGTTGTTGAGATGCTTTCGGAGCATAACTGTGAAGGCTGGCTCGAGGGTTACCTCCTTAGTGGTCGTCACGGTCTTCTCAACAGTTACGAGCCTTTCATTCACGTTATTGACTCTATGGTCAACCAGGTATGTAACATGATTTGTCCTAATGTCACTCTTACTGACTATCCCTATAGCACTGCAAGTGGATCGAGAAGTGTCTCGAGGTTGAGTGGCGAGCCAAGGTTGCCTCTCTTAACATCCTCTTGACTGCCGTGGTCTGGCGTCAAGACCACAACGGTTTCACTCACCAAGATCCTGGTTTCCTCGACGTTGTCGCCAACAAGAGCCCCGAGGTTGTCCGCATCTACCTTCCTCCTGATGGCAACTGCCTGCTTTCTGGTATGTCTAACTCGCGATCTTAGTCTGATCTTGACTAACTTGTCACAGTCATGGACCACTGTCTTCGATCAGTCAACTACGTTAACGTTGTCGTTTCTGATAAGCAGGAGCATCTTCAGTACCTCTCCATGGACGCTGCCATCGAGCACTGCACCAAGGGTATTGGTATCTGGCCTCAGTTCTCCACCGATGCTGGACAGGATCCCGACCTGGTCATGGCCTCTTGCGGTGATATTAGCACCCACGAGTCCTTGGCTGCCATTGATCTCCTGCTTGAGCACTTCCCTGAGCTCAAGATTCGATGCGTCAACGTTGTCGATCTCTTTAAGCTGATCCACCCCAGCGACCACCCCCACGGTCTTCCCGACTCTGAGTGGACCAGCCTCTTCACTGATGACACTCCTGTCATCTTCAACTTCCACAGTTACCCCTGGATGGTGCACCGCCTGACATACAAGCGTCCTGGTAGCCGCAACCTCCACGTTCGCGGTTACAAGGAGAAGGGCAACATCGACACGCCCCTCGAGCTTGCCATTCGCAACCAGACTGATCGATTCAGTTTGGCTATCGATGCTATCGACCGCATGCCTCAACTCCACAACCGGGGCGCCTCGGCCCGCCAGGCTCTCCTCAATGCACAGATCCAGGCCCGTAACGAGGCTTTCGAGACAGGCATGGACCCTCCCTTCCTCAAGAACTGGACCTGGAAGCGCAATGGCCTTTGGAAGAAGGTTGCCGACGGCCTTGTCTCTCGATAGACGGATATAGAAACATTATACAGGTCAAGGAGAAACGGATGCAACCCATCGTTGGATATCCCTTCACGGTACCAGAGATTTCTAGACGGAAACGAATAGATGAAATAAATTCAACAAAAATAAGACGGTGGGCGTTGCTGGACGGTCGGTTATCATGTTAACAAGATGTTATGGCTTTCCTATTTCTTCTCATCTCTTTTACGAATTTCCATAGTTATGCAATACGAATCGTTCAAAATAGTTCCCACGAAACACTCAATTCTGAACTGCCTCTCTCTTCATATGATACTGCGTCATGCCCAGATCAGGGAACTCACTTGTTCCAACGACCCTGAACCCAAACTTCTCATACAGGCCCCTTCCTTCGCTAGAGCTATTCAAATAAGACATCCAACCTTCTCGATTGGCTTTCTCGACACCAAATCTCATTAGCGCAGATCCTACGCCCCGTCGCTGTGCTTCTTTTGCAGTGGCGATCGTGCTTAGGAACCAATGCCTCTCACCAGCGACGTGTTTGAAACTCGCATCAGCATTCCTCTGAAAGAAATCCGCCGCGGTCGCTTGGTCTCCTGAAGCAGGAAACGTAGAAGGGTCGATCTGCTTCCCCGACAATGGTGGGTTTTCTCTGCGAACCCAGCGCGCCCAGCCGAGGATTTTAGAATCGTCCTCTGCGACGAGCATGAAATTGTCATCCTTGTCGTCGATGTTGGTTTGGAGAAATGAGGTTTGGAAAGCTTGGACATCAGGATATGATGGGGAGAAGCAACGCTTGTTTAGAGGCGAGGAAGAGAATGCGGAGAAGAAGACGGCAAGCATTTGGGGGATATCTTGGGGCGTTGCTGGGCGGATTGTTATGGGTGACATGATTGCGGTTGGTGATAGAAATCAAGGTTGGTGAAAGGTTGAAGTTGTGATTTAGGTAAAATGAAGGGAATGTTGGTATAAGTTCTTTGGCCAATGGGGTGAGTCACGCCGATAAAGCAAAAGCATCTTCGCCTCTGTTAAGATATCAACCAGTCAGCCGCAAACACTAATACAGAGCATCTCCTCTCACTGCGCGCGTCACTTCTGATGCTGTCACAAGCACAGCAAGGAACCAGGCCGGCACAAGAGCGTAGGTTTACACACTGACTAGCCTTTCTCTAATTTACTACTACAAGTATTGGTCAACTCAATCATGGCTTGTGATTCGCCAGACAACTAGCTGAAGGCGACTATGTTCTTCAACTAGGTCAGTTTCCTGACTAGTCCAGACACTCTCGTAGTATTCCCATAATTAATTCCGACTTCCTGAACGCCCCGTTGCCGTGCTATATCGCTCTAACCAAGATAACTGCTTTACAGCTACAGAGCCTTGACTGACTGAAAGAAGGGGTTTGCCTGCAGCTCTGCATTTGCCCCAACAAGCTCTTTCAAAGCAGCGACTTGCTCCTCGCGGCTCATATTCCCTGCCTTGACCTTATCCTTCCACTCCACCAAGACTCGCTTGAGCATGGCACTACCCGTCTCAACGTCTTGCTTGCTGTACTGCAGTGCTAAATCTTCGTGCTTGGTAGTAAAGTCCTCAAGCTCGTCTGCCTTGCGTTTGGCCATACGGACAACCTTGTCCGGGAAGCGAACTAGCTCGGCGACGTGGATGCCGAAACTCTGGTCACACACACCTGGTGCGACCTTGTACAGCAACGTCACTTCGCGCTTCGCATCCGCTTCTGAAGTCGCTGCTGCGCTAGTGCCGCCGATGTGCGCCGTGACATGGAGGTTCTGTACTTGCGGATACTGGTCGGCGAGAGCTGTGAGTTCGTGGAAGTGAGTGGCAAACATGGCAGAGCAGCCGATCTCCTTCACGATGTGCTCTGAGATAGCCCATGCAAGACCGAATCCGTCGTATGTCGATGTACCACGCCCAAGTTCGTCAATAATGATCAAGGACTCTGCCGTAGCTGACTTGAGGATGTTGGCAGTTTCAAGCATCTCGGCCATAAAGGTCGAGACACCCTTGAGCTGCGAATCGCTAGCACCTACACGTGCCAATATGGAGTCATAAATGGTCAACTCGGCTTCTGCGCAAGGCACGAAACACCCAACCTGCGCCATAAGTGCAATGACGCCCGTTTGTCGGATGTAGGTTGACTTGCCACCCATATTGGGGCCGGTAATGATGAGGAAAGACGACTTGTCACGAGTAAGCTCAATATCGTTCGTGATAAACTGAACATCGTCCTGGAGTTCCATGCAAGGATGGCGGGCTTCGCGAAGTATCGTCTGGCCCTCGCCACGAGCGTGGATCTTGGGTCGGACATACGACTCAGGGGCATGGACTGAGGCGTGGGAAAGGGAAACGATTACGTCAAGGTGGGCAAGAACACCAGCTAGGCGCTCTAGAACTGGGCAGTAGGAGGAAGCAACTTGAACAACTTCGTGAACAAGACTGCTTTGTGTTCTGTTGTAGTTCTGAGATAGCTGATCATACTCGCGACGATAAGCCTGCAGCTTCTTGGTCGTGAAATAAACACCGTTTTTTTGTGTCGAGCACTCTTGATACTTGGAGTTGTTTCGAATGCAGCCAGCCTCTTGTCGTGTGAGACGCATGCAAACTCCGTGTACCTTGTGGCTGGTCTCAAGGAAGATCTTCTTGTCGGGATCTTGGCCTAGGTCTTTAGCCGAAGCCGTGAACTCGGCACGAATATCCTTGTCAAGCTGGTCAAGTTTCTTTCGGATGATACGCAAGCTTTTATCAAAATCGGCTTTAATGATGTACTCATGTCGATCAAGAGCGTCGAGATCAACGGTTTGCTCCACCATGTCCTGCAACTTGCCCAAGCTATCAGAAAGGTCGCGAAGCTTGATAGTGTATGCCTCGTCGAGGGGGTCTTTATAATTCTCATCCATGACACCTTCAAATGTGCCAATAAAGCCAGGTAGACGGATGACAACCTGATATGCGCGGACGACGTCCTCCAGGTTAGCTTTGCCTCGCTGGAAGCGCTTTGAAAGTCTGTAAAGGTCAGGAATGGATCGAAGGTGTTCCTCCTGGAGTGTCTGTCGGAGTTCAGTATCAACATAGAAAGCTTCCACCAACTGTTGACGCTTCTCAATCTCCGTCTTGCTCATCAAAGGCTGCTTCAACCACTGTGCCAAGAGTCGACTACCAACTGGTGTCTTGCAGTGGTTGAGTACACCAAAGATGCTCATCGTTTTGGATCCATCTCGAGGACCTGGCATAAGGTTAAGGGCCTTTAGAGCAGCAGCATCTAGCTTCATGAAATGTGCCAGGTCATGTTGGTATAGCTGATATTGGCCAAAGTTGGAAGGATCCTGCAGAACGCCGAGGTATTTGATCAGAGATGCAGCAGATCCCATGGCCAGCTTAAGATCAGTCTGTGGGAGAAGAGAAGCCGATCGCTCATCCTTGAGCAGACGTGCCAGGTCTTGTTCAATATCCCGGGTTCCAAAGTCGCCAGCTGGTCTCTCTGCGATAGCCACACCGCAATTATCAATAATCTTCTTCAGCTTGGACAATTCGGGATCCTTCTCCTTTTCGCTCTTGTCAATCTGTATCAAACACTCACGGACACCAAGCTGGATAAGGAGTGCCTCGAAATTGGAGTAGAGGTCGTTGTCGAGAAATTCGCTTACACCAAGCTCGCGGACGCTGGCATCGGCGAAGCAAACACCGACATTTCGAGCTTCGGAGGCCTTTGTGGAGATTTTGACGGCGAGAATCATAGGCGCAGACTCAACCTGGCCTCCAAGGTCATCCTCAACATCTTGTAAGTTACCTGGCGAAGCCTGCTTGATACACTTCCAGTTCATGCGACCGGAAGGGCTTTGCCAAATCTCTACTCGTTTTCCCAGTTTGAGTAGGGCTTCTCGAAGGAATTGTCGGAATACGGTCATGGTCATGGTGACTGAGGGTAGTCCGGAGTGGTCATTTCGGCCGAGTTGTCGGACAACAGAAGTTGTCTTGTAGACCTGTAAAATGGATTTAGCATTGCTTAGAACGATATCGCAGAAGTAACATACAGTTTTGGCAATATATGTGGCATCTTGGCCATGTGAAGTGTACCAATCTCCTCGGTCAAAGATGCGGATCGTGTCTTCGTTGACGGCTGGCAATGATTTGTAGAAACGAATGAAGCCGCCCTCGTCATCGAGCTGGACAGATAGAATCAGTTGGATATATTTCGAAGTATTTGATTTTCGGTAGGTACCTTTAGTTCCGGTCGTGAAGCCATAATAAGTCGATTGTCTTGTGAACTCCTGATACGAAGTCAAGCAACATAAGGGTCTTGTCGTAGTAAAAGTGCCTGAGAGACGTTGTACTTGTCGCGTCACTAGCTCCCGCATTGGCCGGGAGACGCGTTTTTGTGGGCTCTCAGTTAAAGTGGTGACGCGAAACCATGGCTCTGCATAAGTTAGGCCGTGCATAATGCTTGCATAAATGCATAAAGGTGCCTTCCTGGGAATGCTATCCATTCACATGCACAACATATCTCTTCTGGCTTAGTGATTCGTGATTGGCCAATTGACACAAAAGCCAGCGGGCACCAGTGATTGAGCCTCTACTGAAGAGGTAGAGGTGCCCTCTTACATCTCCGTTTCTTCACATATCAAACCATCAGAACTCACAGTGTATCTCGCTATTGACATCGCACGAGTCTTATCATCAAATAGTCTCCTTTCGAGATCCGCATTAAAGGTTCAACAGCAGCTAGCTCAGGGACCCTTGACATGGCTAAGCTGAAGAGCTGCCACCATGCCAGAAGAAGACAGCCTCAACTCAGGAAAGACGCGGCAGACTGCGAATGTCTCGAGACCAGGAATTACAATCCGAGACATATCTTGAGACTATCGATCCTCACATAGTGATAACCAATCAGAGGCGCACTATCAAAAGTTCAGTTGCCAGGACAAACTTTCAGTCAGCCACAACTCTACTGGGATATTGTCGAGATCTCTCTCATTTGACTAGCGCCAGCCGGCCCGTGTCATTGCTTCGAGTATCCGTACACTGTACAGTTCTCCGAAAAGTGAGACTTCTTATCACGAATATGGCAAGGGTGTGAATCTTGGGCCGTGGGGGCTTGGGAATCACTACCTATCGTACCGTACGTGATCATTCCTCGTTTTGTGGCGAGTGACTATTGAGAAGAACTATTTGTGATGTGCGCTGACGAATCGCTAGTTCTTGCATGAAGATTCACTGCGAACTCGGCTGTTGAGTTGAATGGAATTGTATTCGCAGTGCTCGTATTGGCCAAGCCATGGACGAACTCAATGCTTCTCCATATGGAAGCTGGAAAATAGAGTCATTTTAACCTTGTTTTTAACTTCTGCCAAGTGGGTATTTTTCGGTTTTTACAGCAAAGAGCCGCAAACTAAGTCTGCGAGTTGAAGCTAATTCTTTACACAGATGAACATGATGGAAACTCCGCTATAAACCATGGCATTATCCTTGGTTAACAAGAGAAACGACGTCAACACGTGCCATCAAGAGCAAGTTGTGCTTGAATATTCCATGTCTTGGCGACAAGGATTAAACGCTCGACATTGACCATCCGGGTTCTCACTAGAGACCCAAAATGGCAATTTACCGATTCATAGTGGACACAGATGCCTCGAGGCCATCAAGGTCCTCAAGGTCCTTTCAGCCAATCCACTATTTTTTGTATCATGGCTGCGATTATTGGCTTCTCGATGGCAGCTGGAGGAGACGACTTTCTCTGAGTAAGAGGCTGAGACATTAACTTTTGCTCTCCCTCTTTATTCTGTGCGTTTTTATTAAGGGTTTACATATTAACTTTCTTTACTGCTACCCAGTATCTAGAAGTCTTCCTCCTCACACAACCCTTTTGGACAGTTTCAAGGTCCACCTCCTAACTCGAAACTCTTCCCGGATCATTGGCTTCCAAAGACGCAAGCTAGCGATTTAAGCATAAATTTCGACGCAGTCTCTCGGCTCTCCTGTGCCGTAGTCAGCGCTCTACAGTCGATCTCGTGCCGTTACCCGTCCGCCTCTCGCCGACTGGTCGATCTGAAGATGCACACTTCCGCTTTGTCACTCGCTAGATGGGGCTTTGTCTTCTCTGCGGCTTCTGCTGCTGCCAGCAATGCCCATATCGCCCCTAGAGCTACCCAGGCTCCCTCGACCACAGCAGCCAAGCCTGAGGTAACTGCTATTACAGGATGCCACCTTCATGCCTCTGAACTGTTAGCAAATACCTCTCGCGTATCGATACGGTTGACTAACATCCCTCCAGATATTGTTTCGCTGGTGAGACCGAGTACTTGGTAGATGTCAAGGTCACTGCAACCACAGATGTACCTTCGCAGTACACCGACTGCCATTCCCATGGCTCTGATATGTAAGCTACTGAGTGTGCCCTGCCATTGGCCCCTACTAAATCTTGCGTCCTAGGTTCTGTGTAGACTCTGACGGTGGAGATGTTTCTGTTCAAGCTGAAGGTGCTGAGTCAGAAGAGGACCACGCAAAGGAAGGTGAAGATCATGACCACGACCACGATCATGAGAAAGCAAGTAGTACCGGAACTGCAGCCGCAGCTGAAAACACCGAAGAAGCTGAGAATGAGCATTGCCATTTCCATGCTGGTGTTGAGTAAGTCGCTTCCTTCACTTCCACATACACCATCAACAGTCGCTAATGGATCTATGTAGACACTGCACAGGCGGTAGCGGCCATGGCCACAGCGATTCTGAATCCAGCGAGTCGGAGTCTGGCTCTTCCTCCTCGGCATGCCAGCCTCGAAGGAGAGACTATGACGTTGGTCTCCGTGTTGGTCTGCTCTTCGTTATCCTAGCCACAGGTGCTCTGGGTGTCTTTGGCCCCATCCTGCTGCACAAGATGATGCCCAGCAAACTCAACATTGTCCTCATTGTATTAAAGCAATTTGGTACTGGTATTATAATCTCTACCGCCTTTGTCCACGTAAGTGAAATGATTTACCCTTGCAAACGATTGCTAACTAATGTCTCTAGCTATACACCCATGCATTCCTCATGTTCGGCAACCAGTGTATTGGAGAGTTGGGCTATGAAGCTACGACATCCGCTCTTGTCATGGCTGGCATCTTCCTTTCTTTCCTTGTTGAGTACATCGGCAACCGCATTGTCCTCGCAAAGACAAAGGCTTCAGCCAATCTCTCTAATGCCGAAAAGAAGAGCGCCTGGTTGTCCACTGAGGTTGTCAGTGTTCTTGTCATGGAGATGGGTATCCTCTTCCACTCTCTTCGTAAGTGATCCCTCTATCATCTCACGGTGTGGTTGGCTAACATCACTGCTAGTTATCGGCTTAACGCTCGTTGTAGCGGGTGACGAATACTTCCTAACCTTATTCGTCGTCATTCTTTTCCATCAGATGTTTGAAGGTATCGCTCTTGGAAGCCGAATCGCCACCATCGGTACTTCTAACGATAGTCATGCCCCACCCGTGCCTCGTGTCTCCCAGGACACTTCCTCCGCTCAAGATTCAGATAAGGCTCCTGCTTCCACTGAGACCATCCCTAACGAGGAATCGGCCCCTGCTGGTTTGACCATGAAGAAGAAGCTCGGCCTTGCCTCTCTTTTCGCCTTCATTACTCCCATCGGCATGGCCATTGGCATCGGTGTCTTGCAACAATTCAACGGTAACGACAAGTCTACTCTCATCGCCATCGGTACCCTCGACGCCGTCTCCGCAGGTATCCTCATGTGGGTTGGACTTGTAGAGATGTGGGCTGCAGACTGGATGTCAGGGGGCCATGGCCACAAGGCTGAGCTCGCTGACGCCAATCTGCTCACTACCATTCTTGCCGGCACTGGTCTGGTTGCCGGCCTGGTGGTGATGAGTCTTTTGGGTAAGTGGGCATAGACTTAGGGTTATTGGGAATGCTTTCTAAATTTCGTTTTCACGATAATACGATTGGCTAAGGAGTTTGGTACCTGTATTTACGGAGTTCGTGTCAGGAGCATATGCAGTTGGGTTTGCACTGTTAACAAAACTGGGGGCAATAACTGCTTGGATATATACTACAAATGGCGTTGCTAGGATAGAACAAATCGAGATGAGGTAAATGATGATGTATCACATCACTGCGTGTGCCCATGTTTGTGACCGATGCATTCATGGGACGATTTATATTAGCCCAAGCCAAGTGTCAAATCCTCCCAGGGCAAGCCTTCCGTTACCGATTAACCTTTTAGGAGCCCCTTTCCAAGGCTCGGCGTCTGGTACTTGGGTGCTCTGTACTTCAATGTCGAGTTGCGTGTACCGTTGTACGGCAGCACCTGGATGCTGCTGGCCGTGGGGCTGTTCATGACATCCCAGTGATCGGAGATGTTTGGATTTCCATAAGGCCGAAGAGCTGCGAAACGCATTCTTCACAACTGTCAGAATTTTCCATTGGTAGAGTTAGAAGCTACTCACGTGTAGTTTCCAGGGGCTATTCTTGTGCCGTTGGCGAGCTTGCCAAACCACCAAAAGACGTGAAATCCTCGTGATTGTTGTTTAAGCGGGAACGGTAATGTGTCATTCGGATCGTTGGCAGTAGGATCGAAGAACCAGAATTCCTCCGCATCCCGCATTGTTGTTGCTGAACCAATAAAACCATGTCTTCCGACCCGTGGAGGATAAGTCCATAAAGATTCTGACCAACCTTTTTCGAAGATCTGCTATTCATCAGATATCATGAACAATGGGAATCTACAGATAACTTACGTCCCACCTAAGATTGTCGCAGGCGTATGATGTCCTACCGCCAATTTCAATAAAGTCACTCGCATCTCTATCGATATTGAAAGACCATCTACACCGTCGTCAGCAAAATGTATACACGGGTTAAGTCACTTACGCTGAATCTCTATCGGGATCCGTAACAAATGGATCAACAATGAACATATTGTCAAATGCTTTCTCGGTATCATATGCAGCTCCTGCCCAGGTCTCTTAGTAAGCTAGGCGCCTGGTTCCTTTACAAAGAGTTAACAAACCTCCGTATGGGATAGCCAGTTTCTCCCCATGATCGGAATTGATCAATACCTTGCCACTGTATAGTGGCAGGTAATCATCGTCAACGTCGGGAAGCCCAAAAGTAACACTAATCACTGTGAGCGACCAAATTTTCGTCACCAACTCAGACCTACCTCAACTCTCTTGTCTCCCCGGGTTCAATGAGGACCCTGTGTGGGAGTCTCACAGGAGGGACAATGTTTTTGGGCTCAATAGCATAAAGTAAAGCCACTCCATATTCGGGATCGTAAATGTTGAAACCCGCTTGGGGCTCAAGCTTAAAAGTGTATTCGTGTGCTATCCCGCCAGTATTGGTGATGTTGAAACTCCATCGAGGCCGGAACAGCTCTGTGTCCATCAGAGAAAAAGGCTCATACTCGAGTTGAGTGTCATAGTTGAGAACTTTCCAGGCGTCAACCAGTCCAGTACCAACCTGGAAAGGCGAGGCTTTGTACTTGCGCATTAGGCGATTATTGACAAACGGTAGGGTCGTCCCACTTGATGCGATGCGATCTCTGAGCATTTTGGCGAAGCCTGCGCCATTGAAAGCACGACCACCGTACTGACCCACGAACAAAGCCGCAATGCCTGCAATGTAGGGCGCCGACATGGATGTCCCACTCAGTTCCTCGTAGCTCTGGTTCAGTACAGTACTCATGATCATGTATCCAGGGGCGGTAATGTCGGGTTTAAGAAGCAACTCGTTGGTCGGGCCCCATGTCGTGAAGTAGACGGGAAGTGGCCCAAGATCCTCGCCAGTTCTGTTAGCATTTGGCTTCGTAGTAACATTAGCAGCAGCGACAGCTAGAACTCCTCTACCGACAGCTCCGCTACTGGAGTAGAACGGTCCAAATTCTCCTTCGTTACCAGCTGATGCTATCACGACTACGCCCTTATCTACCAGTCGGCTGGCTAACATAGCCCAGGGGTTATCTGACCAACCATTGGGTTGGCCAATGCTCGAGGTGATAACATCGGCCTTTAAATTCCCTATCAGCAGTAACTCATACTTGTGCATAACAGTACTTACTCCCGCATTGTAAGCATCACACAGTGCTTGCATAATGGTCTCTTCGTCGGTCTCCCATGGATCCTGGCGATTCTTAGCTACAGGACTCGCGAAATAATTCTTAGTGGTCTCGAATGCTTACATCAGAGAATACCTTGTATATGAGGAGTTCGGCCTCGGGCGCAACTCCAGTAAGCCTGAGGTCCATGTTATTAGAACTCTATTGTATCTGCCTCCAACACAACTAACCATTCATTCTTAGCAGCAATGATACCTGCAACGTGAGTTCCATGACCTTGGTAGTCCATGGGATCATTATCGGGTTGCTTAGGATGTTTTCTCTCATTGTGAGTTTCCCCTGGATATAATGTAAGCCCTTGATCATAAGAATAAGTCCACCAAACCTACAGTCTGCTCCGACAAGATCATAACCCCCTTTGACTTTGCATCCAGGTCCAAAACAGCCTCCGAGCTTTACAAAATTAGTAAGTGAATAGAACCAGCTTCAGAATGAAAATACCGCTTTGTGGGTATAGTCAATGCCGGTGTCAATTATCGCGACAGTTGAGCCCTTTCCACGAATACCGGCAGCATGGAGTTTGTCAACACCCGTCCAGTGATGAATAGAATAGTTTCTTATAGATGAAGATGGGCCGCTCTCTGAATTCTCGACTTTTGGTATGGCCACTTTGTGGGCTTGCCACACGTTCACAACCCCCTCCATCTGGAGCAATGTATCCATATTATCTGTGTCAGTTTCAACCACCATTCCACTGAAAACATCACTACAATCAAAGCTCTGGAACAAAGGCCTTTTTCGACCAGGTTTCATGAGGAGTTGGCGTGTCACTGTGGTCGTGCCTCGATTCTGCGAGTGTGAGTAATTGGTGCGACGACAGGACTGGCTTCTTTACCGGCTCGACTTCAACAATGAACTTGCGGGTGTTTCCAGTGCTCGTTCGACTATTTCTGGAGGAACGAACAGCTGTTTTATTGATTTCCTCGGCATCAACGGCCACTGATGCCGCAACCAGCAAGACTGTCAACAGATTGTATGACTTCATGGTGGCGGGATGGTCTGAACGAATGATAGGGGATGAGGAATCGCTGATAGAAAAAAAAACACTAAGGCCAGGAGAACATATATATCACTCGTTATACTTCCCTCATATTGGTGCTTCTTCGGAATATTAGCATGGTCGGCAAGGTCTCGGAGGGATGCATTGTTAACGTTACAGTCCTCACTTGGACCAAGGAAAGGGGCAACAAGTGCGTCTTTTTCCAGCTGCCGTTGCGTGATCCAACGTTGAATGTTTTGGTGTCACAGAAAGGGTAATCTTTCCCAGCCTCTACATGTAGCGAATATCCGTAGCCAAAGACTGCAGGGTTAACCAAGACATCTTTCTGAAGGTCGCCTCGGTGTACGGCTAAGCACATCGACCCGAGTCGTGGATCGGCTGTACTGGCTTCCACTTGGAGAACATCGTGGCATCCCCTGGGATTTGAGAATGTAGCAAGCCTATGCTGAGAGGGCCCCATTTGAGAATTGGGCGTGACGAGAGGTTCTTGTGCTGTCTAACGGCTGAGTTTGATATATATGAGTTATCCGGAAATTGCCATTGCCGGCTCGTTTTGATGTAACGCAAACGGCCTTTTGGGCCTCTATATCACTGTAATAGGCCGGCTGCAACACATATTCTCGAACAAGAGCGTTGTGATCCCGAAGCTGTGGGACCTATCTCAAGATCTAGCGAGAGATCCGGCAATGACAAGGAAGCACATCAAGACGGACATACTTCTGTTCCATTTTCGGGACGTGGATAGGGGATCTTGTGTCGAGAGGATGATGCATCAATGGACGTGTAACGGGCATTCAGAGGAGAGCAGTGCTATGACGGAAAGTTGTGCTCGCTATCATTAATCTGTGCTGTTTCTTGTGTAACTTCGTGCCTCAACGAAATGATACTGAGTGTATTCGACGAAGAATCAAAGCGACGTGCCTAACTTATCCATAATCACGAGTGTAAGATGTGGTTCAAGGTGACAGCTCACGTGAACGATGCCATGATGCAACGCAGTGCGAGGAAGGTGCACTTTCAGTTTGACAGGCTGCTGATGACAGGTAGTTGCGATACACCACACCACCTCATGCAAGCCACAATTATATTCTGATTGCTTATCTTACAACGAACTCATTGATTTCATGCGGCAAACTCGATTTGTTTGATAACCGCTTGTAGCATTTTGATCTGTTCGATATGCTTCTTCGGCTGGGCAAGAAGCTACGTCTTGATACAAATATACATCGATACCTACCTACCTATCGTTTCTCTACTGCACGTTCCGAATTCTACCTTAATTATAAACAGCAATTTCTTGAAACACATCCGGGAGCCAGGTTCTCTATTAATCGACAAATGCACTAACAAGCAATAGATCACCAAAGTTTCTATTCATTAACCAAAATGAGCTTCGCTCTCGTCGATTCTATCAACTCTGACTGGCCAGAGCTCGAGCCGGATCCAAGTCCGTGCCTGACGATCTCTCAGCCGGTCTACCTGACTCGTTGTGATAATCCCAAGCCAAGCCACATGGACAGAGTAGTCAATCTTTGCACGTTTTTGGCTTGAAACGGCGAAGAGAAACTTTTATTCCCATCTAAATCCATCAGTCTGGAACCATGAGCTGCGCCACTTTATTCATGGTGGTAAAAACTCTGTCGATGAATAGCGAGCAACAGGCTAAACTGCCAGTGATAGCCGGGCAAGACGACGAGAAAGGAGATCGCGTAATGGAGATGGATGAACCGATTGTTTCTACTAAGCGGCGCTGCAGAAAAAACGTGCAGCTCGTGCAGAGAAGCCATACCCGATACAGCATGTCCAATGAACCAACCATGCTCGCTCACCGGAGACCAACAAGGGGGCCTGGTTCATTTCGCCGCTATGGACAGGGTGAGGATGGGCTGCAGGAGATGTTGATTCTCTTGGAATATTGTGAGCAACAATTGATCATTTCTTGGGGAAATCTATATCATATGAAAATCATATAAATCTCATCTTAATCTCGGCTGATCGACGAGCTGAAAGACATGTTCTACGGATGACATTTTCTGAGTCGGATCGTCCCACGGTTGCAACCAAGGATCAACATTTAGAACAGAGTGTGGATACTGACTCGCAGAAACCATGTGGTTTGACGGTTTCCATGCCCATTTCCATTTCCATTTTGGCTTCCTTTCTCGCGTGGAAGCCCCAGATACTGCGTTTCTATGCCAGGAACCAATGGAACCTCGTTCGTGTTCGGCATAAAACGAAACCAGCTTCTGCAAACTCCTTCTCCTCTTTCTGAACTGGGGATTGCATGCGCCTAGGCACCCCCTGCGTCAAAAATGTCAACCCGCCAACGACACAATCATGCTGGTGTGCTATTTAGCGCTTCCGCCGGCGTTGGGAACAGACTTGGTCCTCTGAGGTCCGAGCTAGATGGAATAGCTAGCTTTTGGTCTAATTAACAGAGAGTGTGGGTTTCTTTCTTCACGGGCTGAGCTGAGGACAAAGAACAAACCAAACGCCTTTTGACGGGCCGTCAACGGGAGGATAGGGGAGAGCTTTGACAAGTTGGTGTGCAAGATTATTATGGCTTCTAGCCAAGAGGTCACAGTGACTGATGGTTGCAGTGATTTCCACCTCATGCTCTAGGCTCTTCAGGACTTCATCCTCTGTTCTTCCTAAGTCAAGAGCCGCGAGGCAAGCTTTCGCCAGCCTCCTCAAGGTTCAATCAAGGACAGTGAATCACTCAATGACCATCAACGTTACCTTTCAGGGGGCCTCAACCCTCAAGCATCTGCAGGTTGCTCCCCAAAGCTTTTCGGTCGCATGGCACCCTTGACACGTTCATCCACTTTCACGCGACCGGTTCCAATTAGCATCCCCTGTCTAAGCTAAACCCACTTTCCGGGCCTCCCCTGTTGGGTGCATCCTCTTTGGATTCTCGCCGGGTCGGCGAATGAGAGCATACTCTTCAGCTCAAGATGCCACTGTCGTCTGTCTCCAGTGGAGAGAGTCAGGCGTCTTACGCGCTACATGCTCCACTAACTCTCTAAAGTTAGGTACCTGCGGGCTACTGCCCCCCGGTGTGCTCCCCTAGACAACTCCCTAGGGGCCCATGTATGTTCAGCACCTCAACCTTGAGTCTTATCTTCCACCCAATCCTCCCCCCCCTCGTTCTTCTCCCTCTTCCTTGTACCTGTCGCAATCGTAATCCTTCTTCTACCCCCAGTCTCCCGCTCTCATTCACATCCACTCATTCATTTTTGACTCCGATCTCTTTCGTGGACAAGGAAACATAACTCCAGGCGATTTGCTTCCTCTTGCTCTAGCTATTAATGTCCCCTACTCTCTTTTAATACTGTCCAACCAACCTCGATATCACCGAAACAACCGAGCATCTTACATACTTGACCTGCTGGTAACCACATAGTACAACACCAATACCCAGTCAAGACGAACAATTGCCTCCCCCTTTATGAGTAGGGTCACTTCAAGGACAACGCAAGACACACAATCCCCCGAGACGAAACATTTCCACTCGGTACAAATCGAAAGCGTACGGCATTGACTGCGGTACGAATACCTGGAAACTTAATCTCCACATACTCGACTCCTCCATTACGAAGCCAGCCTCCCTCGCCGCGCTCAAATCTCACCGAGAGATCCGAACTGATCGCCCTTACATATACACGGGCTCACTCTCACCTCTTTTGGACTCATTACCTAAAAGTTCACACATCCACCGCGAAAATGGGCAAATCTCTCATGGACAAGATCCAGGCCAAGCTGGAGCTCTTCCGTCTCGAGCAACGCTACACCCGCCGCCGTCACCGACGGTCCACCTTCGTCTCCAACGCTGTCTACGTTGACGGAGAGTACGTCTACCAGACTCCCAACAGCACTGGCTCCTCCTCCGGCTCCTCAAACATCGATGCCCTTCACGGGGACAAGGCCGGCGTTGGCTCTATGCCCGCCCCCTCGAGCGTAGTCATTGATGAGCACCACTTCCCTTCTGAGGTTCAGCACCAGCAACAACCACCTATGGCCACTGCTGAGCGCAAGCGCCTGAACCGCTTCAGCTCCATTCCTCACTTTGGAGGCTCAAGCAACAAGCAGATGCCCAGCATTCAAGAGCGACGGAGCAGCATGATCCGATGAGTTAATTCTCGGACAGTCAAACCAACACAAAAAAGACAAAACAATAAAAAAATCATGCGATGTTCCATTTTATGATTGACGGCATTGGCGCCAAGCGATGGTTACAGCTTAGGCGCAGGCGTAGCAGGCGCATAGCTACAGCGTGTAAGCAACGGACACGATGAGATGAGATGGGGTCGGATCGGCTTGGATTGGATTATATGAGATGAGACGGGAGACCAACTAATGAATGAATCGGACTTGACGGATACCCCCAATTCATTCAAGGTTTTTCATACGACGAAACTCGCCCAATTTTGTTGGTACATGTTACAACATCGGATCACATCACTCACTACCTCACCTGTTATTTTGGTTGGGTCGTGTACCCAGCCATGGGACCTTGTTTAACGACTTGTTACTTTGGTTACTTTTCCGTCCCACCTGCTTTCTCTCTCCCCTTCAACTCTGAACCCTTTGGAGAGGCTTCATTTTGGATATCTGGGGAGATCACGGACTGCAGAGCTTTGCAAAGCTGGACGTGGCATCGGTCATCACCGACGTTTTTACCTAATTTTCCTTCTCTGGCGTTGATTTATACTTTTTGCTGTTGTTGTTGCTTCTGCATCTTACTACTCAGCTTCCCACGGGAACAGCTTGGGGTTGTTGCATCATCATTTCTAGAGCTGACGGGCAACTGTCAGGCGCTGCAATCTGTACATAACACAACAAAATGTATTGCAGGCGAGTTTTATGGGAGGATATGGGCTTATGGACTCTAACCTGAGGTACCAACGAATACAAACAGATATTATGTTCAAACGCTTAACTTGCTACTGTCTATGACGAATGAGGGTGAAACAAGTCTTGATCGATACGAGGTGTGGCATCGAATTTTAATTTCCGTGGATCGGTGAGCTATGTCAGTGTCTCAGGTTTTCAGATTCCTAAAACAAGGTCTGTTTTAGCTGACCCTCGCAATGTCATCATAACTGTCAGATGCACAACACGATTGCGAATAAGAAGAGATCTTTAATGATAGGTATAGATATATATCAATGCTGGGTGCATTTGGTCACATGCATTCTTACACGAAACTCAAGGCTTCGGCAGCCGGTTTCTAGCGTCTACATCTCTAAAATCATTGGATCGTGTAAGTTTGGGTCGGCAGAGACGTTGGATAATGCAAACGCCAGTGGCTATGCACAAACCTAAAGTGACGGAAGTGGTTTCATATGGTGCGATCATCCCTAAATTACTTGATCAACGCATAAGATACGATTACGGTGTAAGTGGCTGTGTTGTCTTGTCTTGTCTTGTGCATGAATGTCTGAGCGCGTAGCATGTTTATGGTTTGGCTCATGCTCCATAAACAAGAGAGTTGACAAGACGTTGCAGAATTCAATCATAGAAAGACGTTTGAAGAAAGAATACAGAAGCAAGAGATGCAGAGTCCTAACATTATCTGAATATTAGTCACTTGGGTAGGCTACCCTGTAACCTCACCGCAGCTTTTGAAGTTCGCCCCACCCAACTCTCTCCTGTAAAAATTTTTCCTTGGCACCCGCTGTTAGCGTTCTGCTAGGGCAGAAAAGTTTTACAGGCCAAAATGGCAACAAATGCAGCTGCGGGACTAGCGGGACCCTAACAGCTGCTGGAAGAAAGGGATTCGGAGAGTTGACCTTTCTTCGTGACAAGTGTTTTCAACGGCACTGAGCTTCGCGAGCTTTTGACATCGCCTCCGGGCACCATTTCATTTGTCTTATCTGCGACTTCTTCTCACCTCGACATTTCGGCTTCGCGAGCCTGCGACATTCCGGCCTCTGTGCCCCTCGACTTCCCGTA